AAGACCAGAACTTCCCTATGACCCTGCACTACTGGGTATTTACCCCAAAGATACAGATGCAATGAAAAGAAGGGCCATCTGTACCCCAATGTTCATAGCAGCAATGGCCACAGTTACCAAACTGTGGAAAGAACCAAGATGCCCTTCAATGGATGAATGGATAAAGAAGATATGGTCCATATATACAATGGAGTATTATGCCTCCATCAGGAAGGGTGAATACCCAACTTTTGTATCCACATGGACCGGACTGGAAGAGATTATGCTGAGTGAAATAAGTCAAGCAGAGAGAGTCAATTATCATATGGTTTCACTTACTTGTGGAGCATAAGGAATAACACGGAAGACATTGGGAGTTGGAGAGGAGAAGTGAGTTGGGGGAAATCAGAGAGGGAGACAAACCATGAGAGACTGTGGACTCTGAGAAACAAACTGAGGGTTTTGGAGGGCAGGGGAGTGGGAGATTGGGTGAGCCTGGTGGTGGGTATTATGGAGGGCATGTATTGCATGGAGCACTGGGTGTGGTGCATAAACAATGAATTCTGGAACACTGAAAAGAAATAAAATAAATTGAAAAAAAAGAATGAATTGCTGGCCTACAAGACAAAGTAATAGAAAGTAATGAAGCTGAACAAAAGAGAGAAAGAACAATTATGTGATGTGAGAATAGACTTAAGGAACTTACTGACTCCCTCAAATGTAATAACATTTGTATTACAGGAGTTCTAGGAGATGAGAGAGAAAAGGGGGCAGAAATTTTAATAGATGAAAACTACCTACTCTGGGAAAGGAAACAGATATCCAGGTCCAGGAGGCACAGAGAATTCCCATCAAAATTAACAAAAGCAGGCCAGCACCAAGACATAATGTAATTAAATTTGCTAAATATTGTGATAAAAATAAATCTTAAAAGCATCAAGAGAAAAGAAGTCCTTGATGTACCAGGGAAAACCCATAAGGCCAGATGGAGAAATACTTGGAAGCCAGAAGGGAGTGGCATGATATAGTAAAAGTGCTGAATGGGAAAAATCTGCAGCCAAGAATACTTTATTCAGCAAGACTCTCATTCAGGATAGAAGGAGAGATAAAAAGACTATGTCAGACAAACAAAAAATAAAGTAGTTCCTGACCCCTGAACCAGACCTGCAAGAAATATCAAAGGGGAGACTTTTTAGTAGAAAGGAGAGAACAAAGGTGAAAAAAAAAAAAAAAAGAAAAACAACAGGAAAAGATTAGAGAAAATCTCCAGATACAATGACAAAGCAAGTAATAAAATGGCACTATATACATACATATCTTAATAATAACTTTGGGGGTGCCTGGGTGGTTCAGTTGAATAAGCATCTAACTCTTGACTTCAGCTCAGATCATGTTTTCAGGGTCATGAAATCAAGCCTCATGTAAGGCTCCATGCAGGGTATGGACCCTCCCTCTCTTTCTCACTTTCCCTCTGTTCCTTCCCTCACTCTTTTTGTCTCTCTCTCTCAAAAAGTAATTACTTTGAATGTAAATTGACTAAATTTCCAATCAAATAACAAAGGGTGTCAGAATGAATTAAGAAAAAAAAAGACCTATATGCTGCCTATAAAGTGTAATTTCAGACCAAAAGTCACCTTTGGAATGAAAGTGAGGGGATGGAGTATAATTTATCACACAAATGGATGTCAAAAGAAAGTCAGAAAAGCAATACTTATATCAGACAAGCTAGACTTTAAAACAAAGACTTTATCAAGAGACAAAGAAGGGCACTGTATAATCATAAAAGGAATGATTCAACAAAAAATATAACAACCATAATTATTTATGGACCCAACATGGGAGTACCCAAATATGTAAATGAATTAACAAAAATATAGTAACTAATGGATAATAATACAATGATATTAGGGGACTTTAACAACCCACTTACATCAATGGAAAGAGCATCTAAACAGAACATCAACAAGGAAACAATGGGCTTGAATGATACACTGGAGAAGATGGACTTAACAGATATATTCAGAACATTTCATCCTAAAGCAGTAGAACGCACATTCTTCTCAAGTGTGCATGAGACATTCTTCAGAATAGATCACATATTAGGTCACAAATCAAGGCTCAACAAATAGATAAATATTGAATTCATACCATGCTCCTTTTCTGACCACAATACTATGAAACTACATTAATTACAAGAAAAAATCTAGAAAGACCACAAATACACGGAGGTTAAAGAACATGCTTCTAAACAATAAATTAGTCAACTAGGAAATCAAAGAAGAAATTTTAAAAATACATGGAAACAAGTAACAATGAAAACACAAAGGTTCAAAACCTTTGGATTATAGCAAAAGCATTCCTAAGAGAGAAAAAAAATAGCAATACATTCTTACCTCAAGAAGCAAGAAAAATCAGAAATAAACTACCAAAACTTACACTTAAAGGAGGTAGAAAAAGAACAAATGAAGCCTAAAGCCAGCAGATGGAAGGAAATAATAAAGATTCAAGCAAAAATAGATGATATAGAAACTAAAAATTAAAAAAAAAAGAAATAGATCAATAAACCCAGGAGCTGGTTCTTTGAAAATATCAATAAAATTGATAAGCCTCTAGCCAGACTTGCCAAAAAGATAAAAGAAAGGACCCAAATAAATAAAATCACAAACAAGAGAGGAAAAATAACAAGCAACACCACAAGATACAAAGAATTATAAGACAATATTATGAAAAGGTCTATGCCAACAAACTGGTCAATCTGTAAGAAATGGATAAATGCTGAGAAACATAAAAATTACCAAAACTGAAAGAGGAAGAATTACAAAACTTGAACAGACCCATAACCAGCAAAGAAATTAAATCAGTAATCAAACGTCCCCAACAAACAAAAGTCCAGGGCCAAATGGCTTTACAGGCATATTCTATGAAACATTTAAAGAATAGTTAATACCTATTCTTTTCAAATGATTCAAAAAATGAAAAAAGAAAGAAAATGTCCAAATTTATTCTATGAAGCCAACATTACACTGATATCAAAACCAGGTAAGGAATCCATTGAAAAGGTGAATTACAGTTCAATATTCCTGATGAATATAGATGCAAAAATTCTCAATAAAATATTAGCAAACAGAATCTAACAATACATTAAAAAGACATTCATCATGATCAAATGGAATTCATTCATGTCTTGCAAAGGTGGTTCAATATTCACAAATCAGTGTGATACAGCACATTAATAAAAACAGGATAAGAACCCTATGATCATTTCAATAGATGCAGAAAAAGCCTTTAGCAAAGTACAACATCTAATCATGATAACAACCCTCAAAAAAAAGTGTAAAATAAACATATCTCAATATAAAAATGCTCTATATGGAAACCCACAGCTAATATTTTCCTCATTGGGAAAAACAAAAACAAAAACAAAAACAAAACACAAAAAACTGAGAGCTTTTCCTTTACAGTCAGGAACAAGGCAGAGATGTCCACTCTTACCACTGCTATTTAACATAATATTGGATGTCTTAGCCACAGCAATCAGACAATGAAAAGAAATAAAAAGCATCTGTATAGGCAAGGAAGAAGGAGAACTTTCACTATCTATAGGTGACATGATACTCTATATAGGAAACCAGAAGATTCCATCAAAAAATTGCTAGACCTGGTACACAAATTCAGTAAAGTCAAAGATTACAAAATCACTGTGGACATACCCATTACATTTCTATACACCAATAACAAAGCAGCAGAAAGAGAAATTAAGGGAAACAATCCCATTAAAAATTCCTCCAAAAATAATAAGATACCTAGGAATAAACCTAACCAAAGAGGTGAAAGATCTGAACTCTGAAAACCATAAAGCACTGATGACAGCAATTGAAGGGACACAAAGAAATGGAAAGACTTTCCATGCTCATGGATTTGAAGAACACATATTGTTAAAATATCTATACTACCCAAAGCAATCTACACATTTATTGCACTACCTATCAAAACACAAATAGCATTTTTCACAGGGCTAGAACAAACAGTCCTAAAATTTGTATGGAACCACTAAAGACCCCGAAGAGCCAAAGCAATCTTGAAAAAGAAAAGCAAAGCTAGAGGCATCACAATTGTGGACTTCAAATTACATTGCAGAACTGTAGTGATAAAGAAAGCATGGTACTGGCACAAAAACAGACATATAGATAACGACAGAAAGTCAAATACTATATGATTTCAGTCATGTGTGGTATTTAGGAAACAAAACAAAAAGGGAAAAAAGAGAAGGAGAGAGAGAGAGAAATCAATAAACAGACTCTGAATTATAGAGAACAAACTTATGGTTACCATAGGGTAGATTGGTGAGGAGATCTGTTAAATTAGGTGATGGGGATTGAGGAGTGCACTTGTCCTGATGAGCACAGGGTGATGTATTTGTAGTGCTGAATCACATACTGTACACCTGAAATTAAAATATCACACAGTATGTTAACTAACTGGAATTAAAATAAAAACTTGAAAAGTAACTCATTTAAAACAATATTTAGAAAAAATAGATTTGAGTTCTTTTAGGGACAGGCACCCTATCCTACTGGTCTTTGTTTGCCCACAACCAGTGAATGCCTTGACATAGCTGCGTGCTCAGTGTATAATTAAGGATTGAGTGAATAAATAAATGCCCAAGCAGAACTGTTTGTTGCACTTGGGAACAGTGCTCAATTTCACGAGAGAGTCTAAGTACTTGCTTAGTGCACCAGGAAAGGAGGAATAATAAAAATTTTCGGGTAAGTTGATATTCACTGAAAGCAGCAATATAGTCATCAGGGATTAAAAAAAAAAAGGTAGCCTTTTTTACCTTTACTGTTTTTATTCTGAATTGTATATGTTGTGGGGGCACCCTATCTCTTACTGTTTAGAGTCTCTAAATGTCTTAAGTTGGTCACACTTGAGAGAGGGAAAAGAGTATGAACTGGTGCCCTGCCCCCAGAACAGCTGGGGAGAGAGACCCAGACACACACTACAACAACACACTCTATAATTAGTGTTGGCATAGAGAGGGCTGTAGGAAGGGATATAGGAGCTCAGAGAAGCACAGTCCTCTTAGAGGGAACAGAGGAATCAAATATGAATGGGGATAATAATGAATGGTGGGGGATAGAAAAATCAAATGGGACTAGGAAAAGGCGATGACTGAATAACCGATAGTAAGCAGAAAAGAAACCACACTGAGGAGAATGGAAAGTTGGAATTAGAGCGTGAAGGAGGAGGTTGACAAGCAGGGAAGGAGACCCCTCTGGAGGTGGAAAAAGGCAGGACCACTTCCGGCTGGGGAGGGGAAGCCAACAAGCTCAGACCTAAGGAGAAGCTTGGAGAGAGCGGACGCCTTCTGGACTCCAGAGAACGAGGTGAGCTAAAGGTGCCCAGCTTTAGTGAAGACCTGTGGGAGCCTCTGGGCTATGGCTTTAATGTGCTTGACTCCACACACCCTAAGTTGAAGAAAACCTGCCGCGGGTTCAGGAGCTAACTGCATTAATGTGCTCGGGTTTGGGGGTACTTGGACCCTGTTCATACGGGAGATAGAGGGGGCAGAATCCCCTTTGGGCCTTATAATGGAAACATCTGGACTCTGTTCGGGCCGCAGAAAGGAGGGATGCAGACCCGATTCGGACTGCGGGAAGATAAAACAATCGTTCAGGCAGTAGAAAGGAGCAGGACCCAGTTTGGGAGGGTGATAAGCTATGGCAGATCTCCGGGAGGCTGGTGAATGGGGACAGGATCCAGTTTGGGCCACAGAAAGTAGGGGTCAGGACCCAGAAAATGCGGGGCAGAATCCCTTTTGAATAGCAAGAATGACCTGGCTCAGACAGAACGGAAGAGGGGCTAGGACTTGGTTGATTACGGTTTGAAAAGGGAAGGGACAGAACCTCTTAGTATTCGGGAACAAGGAATACACAAAAGCATAATATCGTCGGATTTGTGGGTGGGGTATCGATGTCGCAGAAAGGGTGGAACCGGTCATTTGCAGACGTGGAAGTGGGGGAGCGGTTTTGGGGGAAAGGGCAGTGCGGGGAGTCACTGGGGAGAGGAGGGAAGGGGCGAATTAAGGAAAAGGGAGTTGCTGAGAAGTACTGCAGAAAGGAGGGAGGGAGCACATAGGGAAGGGGCGGTGCGTGTCTGTACCGCAGAGTAGAGGTGGGCGGTGTTAGGGAAGGGGCGGTGCAAAACAGTACCGCAGAGGGAGCAGGCTGGCGTTGGGGGAAGGGTTGGACCCAAATGTGACGCAGTTAGGAAGAGTGGGTCCCGGGCTTGTCCCAGACATTCTGCTTCTCTGAGAGCGGGAGGCATCTATGAGATAGAGGTGGTCAGACTGACCAGCCCACCAAAGCGCATGTGCTCCAGTTGGCACGCATGCGCACTACTAAGTTGCAGTTCGAGGCGTAAGATTAAGGGGCTGGGCTGTAGAATTGACTTGCAATTTTTTGGGGGAGGCAATGGAGCTAGGGTTCAAGTAGGTGATCTGTGTTTCTAGGTATGAGAACCAAATAGTTGAAGCCTTTGGGGTACAAAGTTGGATGAGATACTCCTTCTTTCAGGATAGTTGGGAGGTCTGGTGAATCTCCCTCTCCTTCTCATTCTCCCCTTCAGGCCCCTTCCCCTCAGCTCAGCTGTTACTCGGCCTTTCAGAAAAATGAATAAGAGAAATGACTGCGGTTATAGGATGCTCCCATTCCAGGTGAGGCTTCTGCATTCTCACCAGGCCATCTGCCCCTTCCTGAGTTTATTTATTAATCTTGAGCCCCTTACCACTCTGTAGTTGAAGAATTTCCTGCCTAACCTTTCTCAGTCCCCCCCCTGCAAAGTGAAGGAGGAGGAGAAGAAAACCTGCCCCACTCTAGCTCCTGTTTCCTCCCTCTTCCGTTACCCTCTCCTTCAATCACTGATTAGAGGAAGGAGAGGCCTTCCAGGAGAGGGTGGGCTGTAGGGAGGCCAGATGGCTCAGCAGATCATAATCCTAAGTACATAGGGCCCTATGCTTCACTCTGGGAGCCTGGAACTTCACTTCCCTCTAGATACACAGACTGAGACCACAGAAGAGGACAGTGTCTTGCTGATGCCTAACCTCTTGGCAGCACCTAAGGACCCTCTGGCCATGGGCCCTCCAGTAGCCAACTGGCCTAAGAAAAGCAAGACCAAGAAGGCCCCTATTAAGTCTATTACTAAAGCCATACCTGCTGCCCCTACAGTCTCATCTGCCAATGAGATTGCCACTAACAAGCTTAAAGTAACTTTGCAGGCTTTAAACCTGCCTATCATCCCCCAGATCAACGAGGCTTCAGCTACCGCTGAAGCAACCAATACTTAGGCTTCTTCACTCACTGCTGAGCCTAAGAAAGCCAGTAAGATAAAGAGAGTTACTGCTAAGGCAGCCCAAGCCTCCCAATATCCAACTGGAAAGGAGAATGTCACTACACAGATCAAGTCATCCTTGCAGGCCCTAAACCTACTAGACATCCTGCAGGCTATTCAGGCTCCACTTACCAGTGGGTCAGCCAACTCCCAGGCTTTGATGGTCCCCACTAAGCCCAAGAAAGTTTCCAAAGCTAAGAAGGCTGCCAATAAGGCCATAACTAGTGCTGTTGATATCCCATTGGCTCCAACCACCACCCACACAGCTACCACCCAAGGCCAAATTAATAATGAGGCAGCCACTGCCCATGCCACAACAACCTGCATCAGAACTAATAAAGCCTCCAAAGCCAAGAAGCCAACTGTTAAGGGCATAAATACTGACACTGAACTCTTAGAGGCCCCAAATGCTGAGAGAGCTAGCAGGCAGACTGAGGCCTCAACAGTAGCTAAGGCCCCAAAAATTCAAGGGCAAGAAAGCTGCCAATATAGGCCCAAATTCTGCCTTTGAGGTCTCTGAGGCTCCACCTGCTGCTCAAATGATCACAAACCAAGCCCTAGCAGGTCAAGAGAGGGTCCAGGGTTCATAAGTCTGTCACTAAGACCCAGGCAGCTGAAAACCAGATGAAAATTGTTGACCAAGGACCCCAGGCCAAGATAGCCACCTTTAAGACCAACATGAGTGCCTTTGAGACTCAGGTTGCTGCTGCTGTACAGGCCCTGGCAGATGACTACCTGGCCCAGTTGAGTCTGGAGCCTACAACCAGTACCTGGGGCAAGAGGAACCAAAAGGTGAGATCTCTGACATCACCATCCTTAAAATTTTCTCTTCTTTTCCATTCCTATCCTCCTAGTTTGTTCATTTGTTCTATATAAGTTTACTGAGACTTATTTACGCTGAGCCAGGCGCTGTGTTTTGATAGGCTGTGGGAAATGCTGAGAAGAATGTGATATAGTTCCTGCTCCCTAACAGTTCACAGATTGGTGGGGAATAATACATCCATACACTTAGCTACAACCTGGATATAATTCATCTGGTATTTACATAGTAGTTACCATGTACCAGGGGCTTGGGTAGTTCATAACAGTTGTGTCTTTGTGTTTTGAAAGTAACTCTTTCTATCCGGGGATCATAGATTCCAGTTTTACATTTGAGAAAACTGAGTCCCAAAGAGGTGAAGTGATTTGTGCAAGAGATACAGTAAGCAGAGTTAGTGGTGGCCAAAAGAAGAGAAGGAACCCCAGGTCCTGTCCTTGGGTGAAACTCCTGGCTGGAAGACAGTGAAAGACATATCTAAGACTTAGGATGGTCAGTTGTAATGTCAGGACCCACTATAAGAAGGGTTTGGGGGATTTTCAGGAGAAGGTAGGGTAAGGAGACAAAGTCATCTCTTTCATCTGGTGACTCTGGACCTTCCTTCTTTCTGATGATGTAGTCAAAGGATCTCATGGGGTTTAGAGAGGTGGCAGTAATTACAGGTTGATTCCATGAGACTGGAGGCTTCTGCCACCCCGAGATGTGGCCATTTTGCAAAAAAGGGTAAGAATCCAATACTGCCCAGTCTCTTCTCTTTTTCACTTTCCCTCTTTTTTGTCATTCAAGTTTTCTAAAAACATATTGAGATCTTCCCATGTATTCCTCTTCTCCCAGGCAAATAAGTTGGTGAAATAACTGTTGGTTAAGGACCAGACAAAGATCCCCATCAAGCGCTCAGGTAGAGTTATACCAATCTGCCTCCCTGGAATCTTCTCTCAACTCCCTTCTCTCCCATGCCCTAGAGTAACCAATTTACTTTTATAGCCTCTTCATTCTCCCATATGTCCTCCCTTGCCCTCCCGACACTCTGACATCTCCCATTAGCACAGTTGAGAACTCAGACTGCACTGTCCCCACAGGCTGGACAGAGGGCTGCAGTTCCGTGGCCCCTGCTCAGCCCAGCTGCTCCCACTTCACCCTTCCTACAGACATGCTGAAGGATGTAATCCAAGAATATGATGAATATTTCCCAGAGATCATTGAACAAGCAAGCTATGCTCTGGAGAAGGTGAAGGGGCAGCCCTGGGGGATGGGCACAATGGGGAAGCCTGGAATCAACAAGGACTTACATGTCTCTTCTGGAATAGAGCACAGAGATCACTAATCCATCCCCATCACTATACAGTTGGACATACAGTGGCTTAAGTAGGAACATAGACTAGCTCAGGGTCACACAGCAAGTCAGTGGTAAAACACAGCTAGGACTCAAGCCTTTCAGCTTAGTCCGGTCTGATGATGGATGTGTTCTGTAATGTATTTCAAATGCTCACCTCTCCTTCTCATTCTCCATTCTCTATCTCCCTAAATCCCTACAATAACAAAGGTGATGCTGATAATAGTACATTTCTTACCTGTTTTCTGTCGTGGTGGCCACTTAGCTAAGTGCTTTACCTCCACTATCTCACTGATTTCTCATACACACTCAAAACTCTAGCTACACAGTGCTTCTTAGCATCATCTTTATGAATGGAAATCGGTCCAGTGAGGGTGAGTGGGTAGGCATGCAGCTGAATGGGTGGCCACAGTTGGAATTCCACATGCTCATTTTCAAGATGCTCAGGAAGCTCACTGATGCCTAGGCTGAATTTTGTGATCTCACAGGCTATTCTTTTACTTGGCAGATATTTTGAGTCAATCTGAAGGAAATTGATAAGCAAAGTAGATTGTATATTCTCATCCGCACTCAGGAATCTTCTGCAGGCATACTAGGAACGTAAGCTGGGAAAGGTGTGGGGTGGAAGGGAGGCTCTGCTTCTATCTATGTCACTACCCCATCCTGTCATCTCTCCTCACATCTCCTTGGAGAAGCAGGAAGACAGGTCCTAAAACACCCTGTTCCAGCTCCCTCACATAGTTGGAGCCCTGCACATGGTAGTGGTGCTTTATTATGATTGACTGAAGGGTGTAGAAGCCTGGAGCAGTGCATTCTTCCTGTAAGGTTTTCTGTTTCTTCAGAAGCTTCCCAGGAAAGCAGACCTGTCATTTCTTCTCTTTCTACTGGCTTTGGTAGAGTGGTTCTCAAGGAAGGACTTCCTGGTGCAGGTAAATCATGATGCTTGAAGGACAGGAGCATCACTGGAGCTTTGCCTAGAGTTCTTTTGCGGGCAGAGGGGTCTAAGAGAGAAAGCAGGGACTCACATTGGCTGGGTCCCTGGGTTGTCCTAGGATGACAGTCATTCTTCTCTCCTCTTGGCAACCTGAGGGAGGGGAGGATTGGATTTTCACATTTTACTGAATAGGAGACGGAGACTCAAGAGTCTAAGTGTCTTGATCAGGGTCACATAGAGCTTGAAGCATAGACTAGGCAGAATTCAGGCATGTCTCAGGAATCTGGGAGAGGATAGCCTAGATGGCTGCTGGACATAAACCTTTACTCTGTTATTTCCCTAGGACTAAGGATTCACCAAAGCTAGGTCTCCTCATGGTGCTTCTTAGCATCATCTTTATGAATGAAAATCGGTCCAGTGAGGGTGAGTGGGTAGGCATGCAGCTGAATGGGTGGCCACAGTTGGAATTCCACATGCTCATTTTCTGTCCCTGTCTCCTCTTGCCTCCTCTTGCAGCTGTCATCTGGGAGGTGCTGCGCAAGCTGGGGCTGCGCCCTGGGTATGATTGGGCCCTCTCAGTGCTTGCTGTCCATGTTGTCGTTTGGAAAGAAAAGATGGTTCCAGGATTGCATCAGTCTGGTGGTCTGGTGGAATGGGTGGGGGTGCTGGTAAAGGGTCCAGGGTTCTGAGCTGGGTGGGTGGGGAAAATGGTCCTGAACTCTCTGCATCTTCCCACCCCTATGTCATTCTAACCTGAGATAGAAGCTAGAACTTCAGGGGCATCCCTGACAAAGAACCATCTGGCCTCAAGTTACTGCTTCTAGTGACCATGTGTTCACTACTTTTCTGGTTTCATTGGGACTGCTGCATGTTCTAGAGAGGTCTCTTCCATGTTCAGAAATGTCTCTTCCCTCATCTGGAAAGTTTTCATCTCTGTTTATGGGTTATTTTTCCCATTATCAGGGTAAGGCACTCGCTCTTTGGGGAAGTAAGGAAGCTCATCACAGACAAATTTGTGAAGCAGAAGTAAGTGGTGTTTGGGGGCTTTGTCTGACCCTGAAGTGTTCTGAGTGTGCTGGTCTGGTTCAGAAAGTACTCAGTCAGCCACTAGATTTAGAGGTGGAATGGGCATCCTATGCCCTAGAACTGAGTCCTGTCCATAATTCCCATGAGTGACAGTTCCAGGACTGGGCTAGACCAAAGACAAGGCCCTTGCTTTGGGGTGTGCTCAGAACAGGGTGCCTGAATAATGGCTCCTCTGTTTATAACACACCCAACAGGAACTTGGGTTTACTCCTCACAGGTGGCAAGATACTTTGGCCTTCCTGTGACATCATGCCCTATACATACCTTCTCTGAAGCATCAAGTGACTGCCTTGCACGGGTCCAAAGGGAAATGACAATATTGGAAACCAATACCATGAACTGTGTTTGGGAGTGAGTCTGGGGAAGGAGGGTCTTAGAAATCCTCCTCCAGGAGTTGAGTTTAGTATTTGAAGGAAGTTGTCACCTGGTGCCGAGTGGTTACACAACAGATTTGTTTGGTTAGAAGCAAGTTTCGTTTCCTTTCTCCGAGGTACCTGGAGTACAAGAGGGTCCCTAACAGCAGACCACCAGAATATGAGTTCTTCTGGGGCTTGCGCTCCTACCATGAGACTAGCAAGGTGAAAGTACTCAAGTTTGCATTCAAGGTAATAGGAGAACTGCCCTGACTTGTCATATTAAGGGTACCCTAACTGGGGCAGACTATGTGCAGGGATGGTTAGGTACAGGGCAGTCTGCAGTTAGTATATAAGCATATGGAACTTTGCCGATGTCTGAGAATGCTGCTGAACCTAAGATTTACATTATTTCATTCTTTCTTTCATAATTTCTATTAGTCTTCTTGCACTGTCCTAACAAAATTATACAAAATGGGTGCCTTAAACAACAGAAAATTATTTTCTCACTGTTCTGGAGGCTGGAAGTCCCAGATTAAGTTCCAGCAGTGTCAGTTTCTGATGAGGTCTCTCCCTCTGGCTTGCAGATGAACGTCTTCTTGCTGTGTTCTCACAGGGTGGATAAAGAGCCTCTTATGAAAACAGGAATCTTATTGGACCAGGGCCCCACTGTTATGACCTCATTTAACTCTACTTCCGTAAAGGCCCAGTCTCCAAATATAGTCACACTGGAAGCTGGTGCTTTAATATATGAATTTGGAGGGAGGGACACAAACATTCAATCCATAACATACTCTCTTATCATTTCCCCTCTTCTCAGTTAGGTTAAGTGACTTGTCCAAGGTCACCCAGCACCTTAGTTATCAGAGCTGCAATTGGATTTCAGGACTGATAGAGCCCCAGGAAAATAAGAATTTAAAAAAAAAATACTGCTCGTGATTTTATACAGAGCCCATTGTATGTACATAATAGATAATTACAAATGTTTTTGTCTTTATATTGATTATCATTCCCATTTCAGGTACGCCAAGGACTGGGCTGCTCAGTGCCGGGAGGCAGTGGAGATGGAAGTCCAAGCTGCAGCTGTGGCTGCGGCTGAGACTGAGGCAAGGGCTGAGGCAAGAGCCCAAATGGGGATTGGAGAGGAAGCTGTGGCTGGGCCCTGGAATTGGGATGACATGGATATCGACTGCCTAACAAGGGAAGAGTTAGGCGATGATGCTCAGTCCTGGAACAGATTTTCATTTGAAATTGAGACCAGAGCTCAAGAAAATGCAGAAGCCAGCACCAACATCGACTTCAGCAGAGGAGTTAGCACCAGGGCTACCTTCAGCGATAGCGCTTGTATTAGCTTCAGTGGTGTGCCCAGTCCCAGTGGTGGCTTTGGTGGCAGAGCTGGCACTAGCTTTGGTGGCACACCCAAGACCAGTGCCAGCTTCAGCAGCACAGCCAGCATTTGCTTTAGTGGCATACCCAGCACTAGCACTAGTTTCAGCGGTGCAGCCAGCATTAGCTTCAGTGGTGCAGCGAGCACCAACTCTAGTTTCAACAGTGAAGCCTGCATTAGCTTTGGTGGCACACCTTGTACCAGTGCCGGCTTTGGTGGTGGGGTCAGCTCCAGTTTCAGTGTCCCACTCAGCAGCAGTCCTGGTTTCAGTGGTGGAACCAGCTCTGGCTTTGGAGGCACACTCAGCACCACTGCTGGTTTCAGTGGTGCACTCATTACCAGTAGCAGTTTTGGCAGTCTACCCAGAACTAGCACAGTCTTTAGTGGGGCACTTAGCACCAGCACTGGATTCGGTGGCACACTGAGCACTAGTGTCTGCTTTGGTGGCTCTCCCAGCTCCGGTGCCAGCTTCGGTGGCACACTTAATACCAGTATCTGCTTTGGCAGCTCTCCTAGCACCACCAATGGTTTTGATGGAGTACTCAGCACCAGTGTCTCCTTTGGTGGTTCTTCCAGCACCAGCGCTGACTTTGGTGGCACACTAAGCACCAGTATCTGCTTTGGTGGCTCTCCCAGCACTGGTGCCAGCTTTGGTGGTGCATTCAGCACCAGTGTTGGTTTTGGTGGTGCACTCAACACCAGTGCTGGTTTTAACAGTGCTGTTAGCACTAGTGCCAGCTTCAGCAGTGCACCCAGCACCATCTCTGGCTTTGGCAGTGTGTTCAGCACCAGTGCTGACTTCAGTGGGGCACTTACCACTACTACTGACTTTGGCATTACTCCCAGTACCAGCATTGGCTTTGGTGGAGTTCCTAGCACCAGCCTCTGTTTTGGCAGTGTGTCTAACGCCAACCTATGCTTTGGTGGCCCTCCTAGCACTAGTGCCTGCTTTAGTGGTGTTACCACTGCTAGTTTTGGTGATGGATCCCGTACCACTGCTGGTTTCATCTTTGGCAGTGGGTTAAACAGCAGTGCTGGATTTAGTGGTGGACTGAGCACTAGTGCTGGCTTCAGTAGTGGACTAGGGACCAGTGCTATCTTTGGTAGTGGACTGAGCACCAGTGCTGGCTTTGGTGGTGGACTGATCTCAAGCGATGGCTTTGGTGATGGACTGGGCACCAATGCTGGTTTTAGCAGCACACTTGGCACAAGTGCTGGCTTTAGTGGTGGCCTCAGCATCAGTGATGGCTTTGGTGCTGGGTTTAATAACAGCTTCAACGGAGGACCAAGTACCATCATTGGCTTTGGCAGTGGTTCCAACACCAGCACAGGCTTTATTGGCGAACCCTGCACCAGCACCAGCTTCAATGGTGGACCCAGTTCTATCATTGGCTTCAGCAGTGGACCAAGCACAGGTGCTGGCTTCAGCAGTGGACCAAGCAGTGGTGCTGGCTTTGGCGGTGGACCAAGAAATGGTGCTGGCTTTGGTGGTGGAGCCACCAGCCTTGGTGCCTGTAGCTTCTCCTATGGCTAGTGAGGTTTCAGGTAATTACATTTCCACAGCCATGGTCCTTGGGGATGGGTGTAAGGGCTGGGAAATGCTATAAGGAACCCCAAAGTGGGAGGTTTGGGTGGGGAGATGAGGACAACGAAGGAAGTATGAGAAAACAGTATATTTGGTACTAAAATGTGTTCCTGTTTGGTGTTTTGTTTTCAGGTTTATTTCCCAGGTTTACAGATATGGCTAATGAATTGCAGCAGTTCTTCCCAAGGAACCAAGGTACATCCTTGGAATTTTTGTCCACACAGCAGTATAAGCAGATATTATCAATCAGCCGAGGGTGACACGCTATGAAAAATCTGCTTGGTGATCTACTTTGTTGTTTGCTTCTTGTGTGCTGTCATATTTTCATATCAGAGTTACATTAAATTTGCAAGATGAATTGGAGTTTTTTTTCTGTCTTTTAATATGTTTAGGTTGTTGTAGTGACATTTCAGGTTCATAGAAGAACTAGAGGGCTCCTGGATGACTCAGTGGGTTTAAGCCTCTGCCTTCGGCTCAGGTCATGGTCTCTGGGTCCTGGGATTGAGGCCTGCATCGGGCTCTCTGCTTAGCAGGGAGCCTGTTTCCCCCCCTCTCTCTGCCTGCCTCTCTGCCTACTTGTGATTTCTCTCTGTCAAATAAATAAATAAAATCTTAAAAAAAAAAAGAACTAGAGATTACTGTAGCTCTTCAGAGAAGGTGGGCTGCAGATTTAGGCTAAAATGAAAGTATGATTTCAGTGGGATAGAGACCTGGAAGAAGCATAGCAGGCAAGGAGATTATAGCTTGAGCAAAGATATAGAGGAGAAGGGAGTTGAGGGAAATTGGAAGGGGAGGTGAACCATGAGAGACTATGGACTCTGAAAAACAATCTGAGGGTTTTGAAGGGGTGGAGGGTAGGAGGTTGGGGGAACCAGGGGTGGGTATTAGAGAGGGCACGGATTGCATGGAGCACTGGGTGTGGTACAAAAACAATGAATACTGTTACACTGAAAAGAAATTAAAAAAAAATTAAAAAAAAGATATAGAGGGGAAAGGCCTAGGATAGAAGGCAGAGGGAGAGGGTTCTGGAGAGTAAATATACATCCATTTTGAGACATTTGTTTAAGAACAGAGAGAAAGAATGGAACTAGATGTGGACACAGGAACAAAGGAGGGTTTTCTTGAGATAAGAGAGAGAGATCTGAGCATGTTGCAGAGAATGTGGAGGCAAAAGCCAGTAAAGGACAGAAGGTAGATATAGAATAGTAAAGAATTTACTGAAGTAGCCCATGCCTGAAAAGGTGGGATGGGGTAGAATGCCAGGGAGTAGAAGGGGACCCTGAGTTTGAATAGGATTTAAGGGTGGCTGTGGAAGCAGATAAATGTACTTTGTTTCAAGCAGTAGATCATCCCCCCCAAAAGTAATGTGGATTATACAAGATTTGGGTCTTGCTGGTGGCTATGATGGAAGAACAAAGGAACCAAGGCAGTGGGTATATGAATCTGTCTCTTCACCACCAGACTGCAGATACCTAGATGCATGGAGAGTGGCTGAAGAAATGGAACATGGGATTCAAGCTGGCTAGTGATGGTAGAACAATGAGGAGGAAGAGAAGTAGTGGATTCTAAGACAATAGAGGAATCAGAGGATTATACTCTTGATGCAGTACAAGAACAAACATTATTCATTCAAGAATACTACACGCATGCCCACTATGTGGGAGCCATGCTTCTAGGGATCCTGTAGATGACACAGAGTTGTAAGGACTAGGGGCCAGGGGTCAGATAGTGGGATCCTTGCATTTAAGCAGTCGTACTGGGGGCAGGATGTCTAGATGATGCCAAGACCCATGGAGTGGATGGCTGAGGGGGAACTGATCACTGGAGTTGAGGGGGCCAGGGAACTTGGAGGCCAGGGTATTATTTGGATAATTTGTATGAACTGTGAAATCACTCAGGATGGGAACAGGAGTTAGAGAAGAGAGGAACACTGTGGTCCAGGTACAGATTCTTCTGAGTGTACAAATGAAGGTGCCTGTCCTCAGCCATGCTGCACACCAAAGAGCAAGGGCCATACGTACTCACAGAGACTTATCTCCTCCCTCATGTTGAGAGGTGCTACCCCAGAACCCTTCCCTCTAGGAAGCCCTCATCCATTCAACACCCCACAGTACCAGAGGCATTTCACAAGATTGGGATCTTAAGATCTTGTGGGAGAAGACTTACAATGACTTCTCCCTTTTTATAGGCAGCAAGAAAAATCTTTATTAATAAGGGTTTGGTAATTAAGAAAGGAAAAGTTTTATTCAGAACTACACAGCTCCTTGGTTGTAGCTAGAAATCAAGACCTGTAGGCCAAGTCCAGGGTCTTAAGGTAAGAGAAGTGCAAGGATAGCAGCTCTTAAAGGTGGGAGGTAGAGCTAAGGCAGTTTGACTTCTTGGAAAAGGCTCAGTAGTGGGCAGGGACAGTGTCCAGAGCTTCCTCAGGTTCTCGGGTGATGTCCACATTCTGAGAGGAGAGAGCCCAGGATTAATAGGAATGAGCCAGCCCTGTGGAGACCCCGACCCTCCCCTGACTCTTGTCCTCACTGACAGGCTCCTCTCCTTCAGCCAGGTCTGGATTCTGACCCTTTTCTCAGGCAAGCCTCTGGGGAATCTCAACCTGAGGACTTTGGGGTAGGGCTTGCTCTAGTCCTGCATCTCTTTGGCACCTCAGGCCTGGGCCATGGTTCCTGCATTTCTGGATGCTGGTTATTCTACCTGTTGGTATGAAACACCCAAGCTCTGTGGGATTGGGGTGGTATTTCTGTGTGGGTTGGCTCTTTCGCCATGTACTAGCTTAGGCCACAGAGTCCCTCACCTACCTCAGGTTTCTCCCGATGTGTGTTTACAGCTTCCACGTTCAGGTAGATGGACTCCACTTTGCAGCCTCAGAAAGAACAACCAGTCCATCCATAAGTCCCCAAGGTTAAGTACAGATCTTCCCTGAGCTGTCATTTGCTCCCTCACCCATCACTACCTATACCCTGAGCTCCACACTGTGTGGAGATTGTGACTGTTCTGTAGGGAGGGGACTATAGACCAGCTGTGTGTTGTATGGGGAAGACACCAGGTCTAAGAGAAGCTAATGGGATGTTCTCCCAGCTGCCCCTAATAGTCTCAATGTTCTCGAAGCTTCAGTTGCTCAACTGATAATGGGAAGGAGATGGGAATAGATGATCTCTGGGGACTCCCCCAACTTTTGTATTCTGTGAGACAGCAATCTAATATATATAATAGTGATGGAGCCCTGTGGACCTCCTAAGCTGTGTTAAGTGCTGAAGTGCTTGAAGAGTCCCAGGGCCACTGCCTTGGGGCAATCAGTCCAAGGTAAATTCTTTTTAGAGGACAAAAATGATTATGGAAACAACAGAGATGTGAATGGTCACAAAGGAGTTCTGAGAGCCTGAATAAAAAGGAGTGGTATCACTCTGGGGCATGGGGGCTGTGAGAGGAGGTCGAATGCCTATGGAAGCCCCCCCTTAGCTCCATCCCTGTGGATTGCAAACTACTTTGGGCTTCAGTGCACTGTCTTCCCTATTCATACCCCAGAAGATTTTTGAGTCTCTCCCTCCCCTGCTCATAAATATTTCATAGCAAACTAATGTCCCAAGAGATAGTCTAAACTTACCGGGTCATTCTCTGAACTTTCTTCAATCTGGTCCAACCTACACTTACTCCTCTGATCCCCTTTGGGGACCTCTCCTTATACAGGTTAGTGTTCCATGCTTAGTGCTTTGGTAGAGCCAGAGAAAGTTGAGGACAGGCCCTGGATTTAGAGGCCATTCCAGTTCTTCCCTGCCTCATCCTGTTATTGCCAATTCCTCCTTCACCAGGACATCCAATTACCCACCCAAGAAACTTCCCCCAGGACTCTGCTAGGCAAATGGTATGCACTGAAAGCATGTTCATGCCCTCTATGTGTTTTTATTCAGATGAGGTTGGGAGCACTCACCATAAGCCACAGGTGTGAGTTTAAGCACTGTGTGCAAAGGACACTTGAGATATGGCAGCTCATCTGAAAAGGAGGAGAAAGTAGCCGTCACAGACAAGGTACTGGGGAGGGTACTATCTCCTCAGGCCTTTTCTGCCATACCCCCTTCCAGCTTCATCAGGGTCACACTCCCCCACACTCTGCATTGGACAATGTTGAGAACAGGGTGGGTAGTGAGGAAGAATGCAGAAAGGTGGTCTCTAGAGCAGAGAGGAAGGAAGACCCTGGGGAATGTGGACAGACTGTGAGTTCCCCAGGAGGGACAGGCTCATTATCTGGGATGTGGCCTATCTCCTCACTCACAGGGCAAGCATGATACTAAGGCAGACCTCCCTTCTGACCAAAGCCTTCCACAAGCTCTTCTAACATGAAGGCCCACAGATGTTTCTTGGCAAGAGTTTTCTGAGAGCATGTTATGTGCCAGGGCCCTTGGAAATGTATATATGTACCTCGGCATCTCCCATAGTTTTCTCTCCAGCCAAGGCCTTTGCTTTCTGACACCTCTCACACATGATGGGTAAGCATTTTTTGATTCACTGGTTTCTAGTTGTTGACTATTATTCATATAGTTGTTCTGAATATTCATATACCATTTCTTGTATAAGCCTAGGTTTTCATTTATTAGACATCCCTGAGAGGAGGAGATGATCAGGCCCATTCCATGGATGAGGAAACTAAGGCTCTGAGAGGAAAGACACTTTTCCTATGTCACAGTCAGGAAGTGGCAGCATTGGGACTTGAACTTAAGACCCTCTGAGGCTAAACACATGCTCTGCCCACTGTAGCCAGCTGCCACAGCCATGGAGGGGCTCACAGTGTCATGGGAATGACACCCCCATCTCTTACCACTCTCCAACAACAGCCACTCTGTCCCACCCAGGCTGCCCTTACCACTTTCCATCTCCCTTCACTGAGCCAAAACCAAACCCCTCATGGCTTCCCTGTCCCCAGGGTTCACCCTTTTTTAAAGCCACCACCACCCTCCCAGCCTCCTGAGACATCAGGTTTGATGATATCCTGGGCATCCATCTTGCTCCTTCTTGTCTTTGTCATTGTCATTATCAGGCCCTGGGGCCCAATGCTTTGGGTACAAGGTTTCATTCCACCCTTGTTGATACTCTTCAGGGGTTATTGTTCCCCATGACACATGTGACAGAATGGACTCAGAGAAGGGAAGTGACTTGCCTGTGGTCTCTGACTTGCTCTGCCGCCACTTGGAAAAGTAATCTTGGCCCAAACTTTTCTTTCTCTGCCCCTAAGAGTTCCCACCTCTCACAGCACAGGATTGGGCTAGATGTACTCTGAGGGTGCTCTAGCTCTGAGGTCCTGTGGGTCTGCTTTCTGAGTCATATCATCTCTCTGGGCCTCAAATTTCCTCACTAAGTAACAGGGGTAAAAACATGTACCTAGCACTGCCTAACCCAGCTTCCAGGGCTGCTGGGGGCAGCTGGGGACAGCTGGTGTGGTCTGTGCATGAAAGAAGGCAGAAGTGGTAAAGCAGTGTGAGAATGACAGGTGCATGTGCCCCTCCCTCAATCTACACATCTGAGGTGGGGGTTTTCTGGAAAGAAACTGAGCTTGACACCTCTCCCTGCCCTCTGAGCCCCACGACCTTGGGTAGGTCACTTCACCTCTCAGAGCCTTCATTTCCTCATCTGCACAGTCAGGGTTACAGTGCTTGCCTCACAGTCTCAAAGACAGTACTGAACAATAGAGATTGGAAGTTTTCAGGAATCTAGTAGCACAAGAACCCTCACCTCAAACCCCATGCCCTTTTCCAGTGAGGAGACTGAGGACCAGGCAGAGGAAATGACCTGACCAATGTCAAGTTCTCAAGTTTCCTGGGTTTCAATTTTGGATGACTCCATATTACAAGTGTTCTTTACTTGGAAACTAGCATAGTAGAGAAGATTCGAGTCTGCAGGACATTGCAGAATATAACTTTCAAAGGTCCTCACACACCTTCACAGTATCCTGGAGATGCTAATACTTCAACATCCATATCAGATATGGACTGTAAAACCAAAGAGTGACATATAACCCCTTGCCAGACTCCCTGCCCAAGTCTGCAGTTCAGCGTATGTTGTTAGGGTATAAATACTCTGTAAATTACAACGTCTAGATATCTTTTAAAAAGAAATTATAATTTAAAAACATAAAATGAAAATATCACTATCTGGGAGAAATCATCCCCACAGCAAAGACAGAAACATACAATTAGGATCATGAGGCAACAAAAGGTCCCATTACCACCTGATGACAGCTTGTTTCAGAGAAGTAGTATCTCTGCTTTTTCAGGTTGATGCATACTGTTAGGTTGGCTTTGAAAACATTAACTCAGAATAATACTAATACTAAAAACAGCAGCTGACCCTTATATAGCCCATACTATGTGTCAAACTGTCCTAAACTTTTTACATATGTTAATTTATTCAAACTTCATTATTGTTCTCTCCATTTTACAGATGAGGAAATTGAGGCCAGAGAAGCTGAAATAATTTGCCAAAGCTAGTATGTAACTGAGCAAGAATTTGACCTCAAGCATTCTTGTTCTAGATACTGTACTCTTAACCACTAAGTTATAAACCACAGACTGCTGGTGTCAGGGTCCCAAATCATATATAGTTTCTTATGCCAGGAACAGATAGGAGAGTGGTACCTGAACTCTTATCCAGGAAGTAGGCCAGGAGGCACCGCATGACAGCCTGATGACAGATCACCAGTACATTTTCCTGCCGTTCTAACTCCATTATAACTGGCTCCAGACGCTGAACCAGATCCTCATAGGACTAAAAATGACAGGATATTTGGGAAAAAAAAAAGGGAGATGAGGAGATTTGCCCACAGAAGAACCCAGGACTATGAATTAGGAAAAGTTGGTTCTGTCATCAGTTCAGTCATTGACCCAGTAGTATGATCTTAGACCACTCACTTCTTTTTTAGCGTCTTAGTTTCTCATTTACTAACTGAGAGCATTCAACACAGTTGACCAAATAACAATAATAATAAAACTTCTTAATATAAAATTCTTAGATTTCTTCCCATTCAGTTTTTCCTCCCTTCCTCTGTGGTCCTCTGCTATTCCTTATGTTCTACGTATGAATGAAACCATGTGATAAATGACTTTCTCTGCTTGACTTATTTCACTTAGCATAATCCCCTCCAGTCCCATCCACGTGATACAAATGGAATCTGGGAAACAAATTGAGGATTACAGAGGGGAGGGAGTGGGGGAATGGGGTAACTGGGTGATGGGTATTAAGGAGGGTACGTGTTGTGATGAGCACTGGGTGTTATACACAACTAATGAATCATTGAACACTACATCAAAAACTAATGCTGTACTATATGTTGGCTAACTGAACACAATAAAAATAAATAAATAAATAAATAAAGTGTTTTTCCTCCTTAAAGATAAAATAAAATTCCTAGAAAAACTAGATAAAATAAATGTTTGCACTACCGATCTTTCAACAAAATAAAGGAAAATATGAATGTAGGGTTACAAAATGAAGAAAAACCTGGGAAAAAAAAGAGAGGTAAGTGGATGGAGAAGCCACAATGCCTTGGGGGCATTTGTCAATCACAATACCTGAAAGGCTTGAGATTTTAAAACCTTATAGAGACAGAAGACAAGGCCTTAGCACTTCATAATGTGGAGAATTGGGACTGAACTTTTCACACAAATCTGAAACACTCAGAGAGCTACATCTTTAGTAGAAGTCTAAACTAGGAAAAAATATATATCCACAGGCAAAAGGAAACAATAACATTCATCTGCCTCTGCTAGACTCAGTGGAAAAATTAGGAAAAACTTCCTATAATAATATATTAACCACAAACCTACCATCAGGTGGGTATGTGGTTTAAGCTTACAATACCCATGTGTTTTAGAAAATGCTAAGATGGCCATCTCTACCCCAAATGTTTATAGCAGCAATGGCCACGGTTGCCAAACTGTGGAAAGAACCAAGATGCCCTTCAATGGACAAATGGATAAGGAAGATGTGGTCCATATACACTATGGAGTATTATGTCTCCATCAGAAAGGATGAATACCCAACTTTCGTAGCAACATGGACGGGACTGGAAGAGATTATGCTGAGTGAAATAAGTCAAGCAGAGAGAGTCAATTTTCATATGGTTTCACTTATTTGTGGAGCATAACAAATAGCATGGAGGACATGGGGAGTTAGGAGAAGGCAGTTGGGCGAAATTGGAAGGGGAGGTGAACAATAAGAGACTATGGACTCTGAAAAACAATCTGAAGGGTTTGAAGAGGTGGGGGGTGGGAGGTTGGGGGAACCAGGTGGTGGGTATTAGAGAGGGCACGGATTGCATGGAGCACTGGGTGTGGTACAAAAACAATGAATACTGTTATGCTGAAAATAAATTTAAAAAAAGAAAATGCTAAGATGGGATTTTAATAAAAAACAATTTCAAGTCATTAGTTCCCAGACATATCTGGAAGAAGCAAATGGAAATTATCTCTGAATCCTCTCAACTTAGTTTATGTAGAATTCTTACATATAGGGCGCCTGGGTGGCTCAGTGGGTTAAGCCTCTGCCTTCGGCTCAGGTCATGATCTCAGGGTCCTGGGATCGAGGCCCGCATTGGGCTCTCTGCTCGGCGGGGAGCCTGCTTTCTCCTCTCTCTCTCTATGCCTGCCTCTCTGCATACTTGTGATCTCTCTCTGTTTCAAATAAATAAAATCTTTAAAAAAAATAAAAAAAATAAAAGGGAAACATTAAAAAAAAAGAATTCTTACATATAAATTTCACTAAACTGAAGCTCACATAACATGCATGGAAAATAACCTATAATTAGTGAAAATAAACAGAAAGAATAAGAGAAGAACCCTAAAAACATAAGATAAAGGATATATATATATATATATATATATATATATATATAATATGTTTGAAATTTATAAAGAAATAAAAGACAGACTAAAAATGAGAGAAAGAAATAAGATGCCATTAAATATATGATGTAGATTTGGATAAAAGCTAATGGAATTTCTAGAAATAAGAAATACATTTATGAAAAATGAAAACTAAATGAACTGGGTGAATGAAAGATTAGATAGAACTTAAGAAATAGTGATTTGGAAGATAAAGCTGAAGAGATTACTCAGAATGTGACAAAGTCATTAAAAATAAGAAGTTAGAAAGCAAAGGATAGGGACAGGATAATCACACATTCAGTTTTATTTCCACAAGGAGATAATAGAGATGATATGAAAAAAGGATGAAGCCATAATGTCTGAGAGGTTCTAGAATTAAGGAAGAATTCCAATCCTCAGATTCAGAAAGTCTAAATAATCACAAGCAAAATAAAATTAAAAAAAATTTAGATATATCAGATTAGAACATAAAAGCAATGAAGATACAAAGATCTTAATAGCAGCCACAAAGAAGGTAAACAACAATTAGAATGCCTAGAGACTTTTTAGCTCCATCAGAAGCCAGAAGACAGTGGTGATGAGGGGAGGTGTTAAGACGGCAAAGTAGGGGGACCCTGGGCACAGCTTTATTGAGGTCAAATCCCTTGGAACACCCAGGAAACTGATATGAGTATTGGAAGAAGGATTTCTACAGTTGGAGGGAAAAAGCATTACAGGCCAATTTCAATAAAAATAAAGTGCATCTAAAGGTCCAAACATTCCCCACTGCAAGCAAGGAGGAACTCTGCAGAGGACTGACCAGTGGGAAAGAACAGCCAAAACACAGTAGCAGAGTGCACATACCATATATTAGAAACACTTCTTGAAGTGCCAAGCCCTGGGCATTGTATGATCACTTTTTAACATGATATTACTTTCAGATACAGGAAATATAACACACAAAAGACAGAAACATAGCCAAAATGACAAGGTGGAGAAACTCTCCCCAAAAGAACATTCAAGAAGAAATCACAACCAGGAACTTGCTAAAAACTAATATAAGCAATATATCTGAACAATAATTTAGGACACTCATAAAACCACTAGCTGGGCTTGAAAGAAGCGTGGAAGATACAAAAAACAAAACAAAACAAACAATAACAACAACAAAAACAAAACACCTTGCTACAGAGACAAAGGACCTAAAAACTAGTCAGGCTGAAACAAAAAGTGCTATAACTGAGATGTAAAACAGACTGGATATAATGACAATGAGCACTGAAGAAGCAGATGAGAGACTAGGTTTTATAGAAAATACAATTATGGAAAATAATGAATCTGAAAAGAAAACTAGTAGATCATGAAGGTAGACTTAGGGAACTCATTGATTCCAGAAACCACAATAATATCTGTGTCATAGGAGTCCCAGGAGAAAAATGTGTGTGTGGGGGGAAGGGACAGAAGTCTTATTTGAACAAATTATATCTAAGAACTTCCCTAATCTGGGGAAGGAAACAAGCACTCCAGGGCAAGATTCACAGAGAACTCTTCTCAAAATCAACAAAAAGTCAACACTACTACATATCATAGTGAAACTTACAAAATGTAAAGATAAAGAGATAATAATGAAAACAGCTAGGGACAAAAGACAAAGAGGCAATTCTAAAAATATCTAGGGGCAAAAGATACTAAGGTTACTAGCAGACCTGTCCATGGAGACCTGGTAGGCCAGGAAGCAGTAGAAGGAAATATTCAACATGCTAAATGGGAAAAATATGCAGCTAAGAATACTTTATCTAGCAAAGTTCTTATTGAGATTAAAAGAAGAGATAAAGTGTTTCCAAGACAAGAGGCAACTGGGGGGCTCAGTCAGTTAAGAATCTGACTCTTGGTTTTGGCTCAGATTGTGATCTCACAGGTGATGAGATGGAGCCCTAAGTCAGGCTTCATGATCAACAGGAAGTCTGCTTGAAGATTTTCTCCTTATGCCCATTTTCTCACTTGCTCAAGCTCTCCCTCTAAACATCAATCCTAAACTAGCCTTGCAAGAAATATTAAAAGGGATCCTTTAAAAGAAGAGAGAGCTCTAAACTAACAAAGATCAGAAAAGAACAGAGACAACCTACAGAAACTGCAACCTTATAGTACCACTTTACAGTGATACTAAATTCATATTTTTCAACAATTACTCTGAATGAAATGGCCTAAATGCTTCAATCAAAAGCCATAGAGTAGGGGCTCTATGAGCACCTGGGTGGCTCAGTGGATTAAAGCCTCTGCCTTCAGCTCGGGTCATGATGCCAGGGTCCTGGGATCGAGCCCCACATTGGGCCCTTTGCTCAGCAGGGAGCCTGCTTCATCTTCTCTCTCTCTCTGCCTGCCTCTCTGCCTACTTGTGAACTCTATCTGTCAAATAAATAAATGAAATCTTAAAGCCATAGAGTATCAGAATAGATTAAAAAAATAAGACCCACTGGTACACTGCCTACAAGAGACTCATTTTAGAACAAAAGTCACTTCCATATTAAAAGTGAGGGGGTGGAGAACAATTTATCATGCTAATGGACATCAACCAGGTGGTGGGTATTGGAGAGGGCACGGATTGCATGGAGCACTGGGTGTGGTGCAAAAATAAGGAATACTGTTATGCTGAAAAAAATAAAATAAAAAAAAAAGAAATAAAAAACAAAAAAAAATAAAAGTGGAAAAAAAAGAAAGTTAGAAGAGTCATCCTTAGATAACTAGATTTTAAAACAAAGACTATTAGAAGAGATGAAGAAGGCCACTGTATCATAATAAAGGGGTCTATCCAATAAGAAGATCTAACAATTGTAAATACTTATGCACCTAACTTGGGAGCAGCCAAATATATAAAGGAATTAATTAACAAAATTTAGAAAACTCACTGATAATAATACAAGAATGGTAGGGAACATTAAGATCTCACTCACAGCAATGGAGAGATCATCTAAGCAGAAGATCAACAAGGGAACAAGGGCTTTGAATGACACACAGGACCAGAGGGACTTCACAGATATATTCAGAGCATTTCATTCTAAAGCACTAGAACACATATTCTTTTCAAGTGCACATGGAACATTCTCCAGAATAGGTTACCCACTGGGTCACAAATCAGGCTTCAACTGGTACAAATACAATGAGATCATACCATGCATATTTTCAGACCACAATGCTATGAAACATAACGTCAATCACTAGAAAACAACTGGAAGGACCACAAATACATGGAGGTTAAAGAACATCCTACCAAAGAATGAATGGTTACCAGGAAATTAAAGAATACTTAAAAAATACATAGAAGCAAATGAAAGTTAAAACATGACACTTTAAAACCTTTGGGATGCAGCAAAGGCAGTAGGAAGAGAGAAGTGCATAGCAATACAGGCCTTTCTTAAGAGGCAAGAAAAGTGTCAAAGAGAAAACTTAACCTTACAACTAGTGGAGCTGGAAAAAAGAACAGGAAATAAAACCTATACCAAGCAGGAAACTAGAATTAATAAAATTAAAGCAGAATTCAGTGATAGAAAATTGAATTAAAAAAAAAAAGAACAGACCAATGAAAATAGGAGCTGGTTCTTTGAAAGAATTAATAAGATTGATAAACATCTAGCCAGACTTATGAAAAAGAAAATAACATATTGCATGGAGCACTGGGTGTGATGCATAAATGATGAATCTTGGAACACTGAAAAAAACAAAATAAAATAAAGATGTTTAAAAAAAGAAAAGAGAAATGACCCAAATAAATAAAATCATGAATGAAAGAGGAGAGATCACAACCAACACCAAGGAAATACAGACAATTATAAGAACATATTATGAGCAACAATATGCCAACAAATTAGTCTATCTGGAAGAAATGGCTGGATTCCTAGAAACATATAAAGTGCCAAAACTGAATCAGGAAGAAATAGGAAATCTGAACAGACTCATAACTATTAAAGAAACTAAAGCAGTTATAAAAAAATCTCCCAAAAAACAAGAGTCCAGGACCGGATGGTCTCCCAGGGAAATTCTATGAAACATTTAAAAAATTAGGGGCACCAAGGTGGCTCAGTGGGTTAAAGCCTCTGCCTTCAGCTCAGGTCACGATCCCAGGGTCCTGAGATCAAGCCCCACATCAGGCTCTTTGCTCAGTGGGGAGCCTGCTTCACCCCCCCCACCCGCCTGTCTCTCTGCCTACTTGTGATCTCTGTCTGTCAAATAAATAAATAAAATCTTTAAAAAAATAAAAAATTAATACATATTCTTCTGAAGTTCTTTCAAAGAATAGAAATGGAAAGAAAACGTCCAAACTCATTCTATGATGGCAGCATTACTTTGATTCCAAAACCAAACAAAGACCTCACTCAAAAGGAGAGGAAACAAAAGCCAAAATAAATTTTTGGGACTTCATCCAAATCAGAAGCTTCTGCACAGCAAAGGAAACAGTCAACAAAACAAAGAGGCAACCCACGGAATGGGAGAAGATATTTGCAAATGACAGTACAGACAAAATGTTGATATCCAGGATCTATAAAGAACACCTCAAACTCAACACACACAAAACAGATAATCCTATCAAAAAATGGGCAGAAGATATGAACAGGCACTTATCCAATGAAGACATACAAATGGCTATCAGACACATGAAAAAATGTTCATCATCACTAGCCATCAGGGAGATTCAAATTAAAACCACATCGAGATATCACCTTACACCAGTTAGAATGGCCAAAATTAGCAAGACAGGAAACAACATGTGTTGGAGGGGATGTGGAGAAAGGGGAACCCTCTTCCACTGTTGGTGGGAATGCAAGTTGGTGCAGCCACATTGGAGAACAGTGTGGAGATTCCTCAAGAAATTAAAAATAGAGCTTCCCTATGACCCTGACATTGCACTACTGGGTATTTACCCCAAAGATACAGATGGAGTGAAAAGAAGGGCCATCTGTACCCAAATGTTTATAGCAGCAATGGCTACGGTCGCCAAACTGTGGAAAGAACCAAGATGCCCTTCAACGGATGAATGGATAAGGAAGATGTGGTCCATATACACTATGGAGTATTATGTCTCCATCAGAAAGGATGAATACCCAACTTTCGTAGCAACATGGACGGGACTGGAAGAGATTATGCTGAGTGAAATAAGTCAAGCAGAGAGAGTCAATTATATGGTTTCACTTATTTGTGGAGCATAACAAATAGCATGGAGGACAAGGGGAATTAGAGAAGTGAAGGGAGTTGGGGGAAATTGGAAGGGGAGGTGAACAAGGAGAGACTATGGACTCTGAAAAACAATCTGAGGGGTTTGAAGGGGCGGGGCGTGGGAGGTTGGGGGAACCAGGTGGTGGGTATTAGAGAGAGCACGGATTGCATGGAGCACTGGGTGTGGTACAAAAACAATGAATACTGTTATGCTGAAAAGAAATTTAAAAAAACGGAAAAAAATAAAAGGCATAAAAAAAGAAGATGTGGTATATACAATGGAATATTACTCAGCCACCAAATATGAAATCTTGCCATTTGCAATGATGTGGTTGGAAGTAGACTGTATTAAGCTGAGTGAAGTAAGTCAAAGAATGACAAATACCATATGATTTCATTCATATGTAGATTTAAAGAGACAAAACAGATGAACATAGGGGAAGGGGAAGAAAAATAAAAATAAAATAAGAGGAACCAGAGAGGGAGACAAACTATAAGAGACTCTTTTTTTTTTAAAGATTTTATTTATTGATTTGACAAAGAGAGATCACAAGTAGACAGAGAGGCAGGCAGAGAGAGAGAGAGGGAAGCAGGCTCCCTGCTGAGCAGAGAGCCCGATGCGGGACTCGATCCCAGGACCCTGAGATCATGACCTGAGCCGAAGGCAGCAGCTTAACCCACTGAGCCACCCAGGCACCCGAGACTCTTAACTGTAGGAAATAAACTGAGGGTTGCTGGAGGGCAGGTGGGGGGGGATGGGGTAACTGGGTAATGGACATTAAGAGGTCACTTGAAGTAATGAGCACTGGGTGTTGTATGCAACTGATTAATTACTGAATTCTACCTCTGAAACTGATAATGCAGAGCATATTAATTAAATTGAATTTAAATAAAATTTAAAAAAAAGAATGAAACATTATATAACTTAAATATAGATGCAAAATCTCAGGAGTAGAATTTTAGAGAAGGGAGATAAAGAGAAATATAAACTAAGCATAAAGGTTCAGAAAAAAAAAATCTCAAAATAAGAGAATAGAAATAAGCTCAATTAAATCAGTAATTATAAGGAAAGTAAATGTATCAGAATTACAATTTAAAAGACAAATATTTTCACATTGTATTAAAAACAACAAAAGCTGGGACACCTAGGTGGCTTGGTCAGTTTTGCATCTGACTCTTGATTTTGGCTCAGTTCATGATTGTTGGTTCATGGGATTGAGCCCTGTGTTGGTCTCCCCGTTCATTGAGGAGTCTTCTTCTCTTCCTCTCTCTTTTCCTTGCCTTCTGCCCTCCCCCTGCTCATGATCTCTATGTCTCTAAGATAAAATAAATAAGTCTTCTAAAAAATCAATTATATTCTCTTTACAAGAGGCCTAAAACAAAAATAGCCAGAGAAATTGAAAGTAAATTAATAAAGATGAACTAGGCAAATACTAACTAGAAAACATATATATGTATATATATGTATATATATATATGTGATAGATAGATATAGATGATAGATAAACAGACAGAGAGATAGATAGATACAGCTATATTAATACTAGATAAAATGCACTTTCAGGAAAAACTTTTTTTTTTGAAAAAATAATTTTTAAGATTTTATTTATTTATTTGACAGACAGAGATTACAAGTAGGCAGAGAGGCAGGCAGAGAGAGAGGAGGAAGCAGTCTCCCTGCTGAGCAGAGATCCTGATGTGGGGCTCGATCCTGATGTGGAGCTCGATCCCAGGACTCTGAGATCATGACCTGAGCCGAAGGCAGAGGCTTTAACCCACCGAGCCACCCAGGCGCCCCAGGAAGAAACATTATTAGGGGAAATATTATTCCTAATAAAATATGCAATTCACTAAGAAGATATAATTGCTTTAAATCTGTATGCGTGTAATAACATAGCCTCAACATATATAAGGAAAAATAAAGGCAAACTCAGACTCACTTTATGATGTCATTTCTGAGGATGAGGATAAAAGTGTGAAATTGCTTTGCAACATAGGATATGTATTATTTTACCTTCCTTGGTGTCCTGCTTTTCTTATAATTGTTCCCAGGAATGTATATAAAAAATGGATTATGACTAATAAATACTTTAAGATGTGGAACTGGCTAAATGAATCTGCTGGGTGAAAAGCAGTGAGGATCCACCTGATATGGGAATTAGGGAACTGATGGTCTGGTTCATGTGGTGGCAAACAATCTGGTCAAACTATTAGCCATTGTCCCACTCTAGACTCTAACCCACTGTCCAGAGACTGGATCTTTAGGCAACTTGGCAATAAAATGACAGGAGTATGTTGAACTACTTCAGGTGTCTTTAGTGAAAGGATACCAGAGACAAAATCTAGGATGAAGGCCCCCTGAAACAGATGGGATATAAGGAGGCAATTATTTTAGCTTTAGTAAAAGAGGTATCTGTTGCTGATAGCCGTGAAGCAGAGAAAACCAAGAGCAGATTATCATGTGCTTTGTGGGATGGCAGCTGCTACAAAATATGCTTTGCTCTGCTTCTAAAGCTGTCCAGGGAACTATGCAATTTTGGCTGTTGGAATGAAGTTACTGGGAGGAGTTCTAGGAGTCAGGCAAGCCCTCCAAACCTTACCTCTCCCTTGGGATAGCGGTAGCGATATTTATCTTGGTCCCGTAGTGCAAATTCTTCAGGGTAGTGTTCCTGGATTTCTTCATAGGTCATCTCCTCACAGACACCCTGAGAAAAATTATTTGGGGATAAACGTATTCACAAGTTGAAATCCATACAGCCTTTACCATAGTTCTGAGTCCAAAGATTATGGCACAGCAACACACCTGATTTTCTGTGAAGACAGCTCTATGTTTGTGCCTATTGTCTGAGTGTGTGAGTGTGTGTGTGCACATGCTCATGAAGTGTGTGGATATGAGAGAGTGTGCATGTGTACAGGTGTGTTCAGTTTGAGTATATGGTGTGTACCTGTGTATGGCGTTTCTCTATGATTGTCCCAAAAGGTTTGTAGATGTACATTGTACATTTCAGTATGTTTTTTATAAATATATGGGCTTAAGGATTTGAGACTGTGTTTGTGTGTATGTGTATCATGCTGGTATGTTTAAAGACATGTGCCTTGTGTTTGTGTATTTGTCTCAGTTTTTGTAGTGTGTTTGGTGAGTGTGTGTGTGTGTACAGGGTGTCTGAGCATCTGAGAATATGCTCACATGAGGGTCTCTGTGGTCTGTTTCTCCATGTGTGTCTCAGTGTGTCTGTGGCCTGTGTTTCTGTGAGTGTATAGGTCTCTGATTATGTCTTTGATGTATATGTGAATAGCTGTGTGCCTATGCCTGAGGTCATGTGAATTTGTGGTAATATTCTTGAGGTTATGCACCTGCATTTTGTGCATTTCCATCCATGGTATGCCTATCTGCGTCTGTATAATGTAGGTATATACAAAGACTGCATGTGTGTCTATGGTAAGTGTGTCTATATGTATCTCTAAGTGTGTCTGTCTGTGACTGTGTATGTGCGTGCATGCATGGTGCAGGTGTTGATTGGTAGATGTGTCTGAAAGGGATCCTATGTCAGATTAGTAGGTCAATGTGTCTGTGAAGTGTATGTCTGTGATTATAAACATATTTGTGGTGGATGTCTATGACTGTGTATGCAAGCACACACATGTGTGCACTTACATAACAGTGCTCTCCCATTTTATAGCATTTCCCATCCCCTCTGCTCCCACCTATGTTCCAGGACCTCTGGCAGATAAAGAAACAGATATCCACAGACATCTCAGAAGATAAGAATTAATAAATTCCTAACAGTTTCAGAGTGGGCCTTGGGGAAATATAGTCCCCTTACCCAAAGCAGGAATTCAGAACTCAGAGAATGAGTTCCTTAGGAGCACATGAGAGCTTCCCAAGTTCACTGAAAAATACCCAGAAGTGAGGTGGCTGGCAATGTTGGGTTTATAAGATTTCCTTTTGATTGTGTGGATTCCAGTTAGACTTTCCTGTAAGGGAGCAATAGGCTCTGGTTGTTGTATTTTCAGTCATATACCAGCCTTTCTTTAGGAGTGAATTTCACCCCTGCCATAACCCACAAACAGCTCTGCAGTGTCAAATTTCTCCACTGACACTGTCTATGGGAAAAAGTGCACTCTATGGGATACACAAGATCCTTCCAGATTGGCTTTGACTTTCTATTTAGAGGCATGCTAAAAGCCTCATGCCTGCGGAAGTGACACTGACTTCATATTGACTTAAGGCAAATTGCCTAAACTCTTTGAATTTTATTTTCCTCATCTGAAAAGTGAGAACTACAACAACCTCAGAAAAGTGTTTTGAATATTAAAAATAATATATCTAGCACAGAATGTTCAAGGTACATTTTAAAGACTCAAGCAGTGGAACTAATTATTAATATATTATTGATCATGGAAAATAAACCAGCAATTTAGGCATCATTCTAAACTATTACTTTTTCCTTACTCCTCCCCTAGAGCAAATTGCTGTAATTCTATCTGCTAAATTTCTCAAAAGTCTATTCCTTTTTCTTTCCTGTCTCCACTACTACAATCTTAGCAGTTCTGCACACACACACACACACACACACACACACACACACCCTTCTTTGTTTATGCTGGGCTCTGCCTGACATACCATTCTTGATCCTCTCTACCTGACTCACTGTTAATGAATGCTCAGCTAGGCATCACTTCCTCCAGGCAGATCCTGGCTGGGTCAGATGCCCTGCCCTGACATCTGTACATCTATGTTCTAGCTTCTCAGGGACTATATTACACATGCTGTTTTGTATTCCTCTGTGTTTTTTTTTTCTGTCTACCCTGTTTTGACCAAAAATTCAGTGAAGACAAAAATCAATCTCTTTCTCCAACACCACCCCAGAGCCTGAAACAAAGTAGGTATCCAATAAATGTTTATACCACATGTGGGCCAGAAACAAGTAGTGACTGATCTCTCATGATGAAGGGTTTATATATTTTCTTGAATGTATTTTATAGCAATTATATGTAATATGTAGAATGATACTGTATATTCCTTTTCTAATACATGTATCTCTGTACATCTATAGCTAAGTACATGTGTATGTATGTAGACACACATATACTTCTTTGCATTTATTGAAGTATATCTACCAGGCAAGCAAGTTAACCTAACTACATGAAAGTTAACTATATTTGTGATAAAGCTTTTACTTCTGGGTCTAACAATCATAACCTGTGGACTGCTACCTGATGTCAGTATAACTATAATCCAGGTGAGACAATGGGGAGGAAAAAAAAAACACTTTTGCAAAAGGCACATGGGAAAACCTGACTCTGAAGCAAGATTGCTATGTCATGAGGGTCAGATGGCCTTTTTCTTCATTCTATTTCCAATACCACTATTTTAGTCCATTGTCACCTCTTGCCTGGATTAATGTAACCATCCCCATACTGATCTCAGTCTGGCCCTTTTCCTAACTAGTTTCCACACATGATCAGAATGGTTATTTATTTATTTATTTATTTATATTAATCAAGTATAATTAACTTACACTGTTATATTAATTTTAGGTATATAATATCATGATTCAATAATTCTATACATTTCTCAGTGCTCATCAAGATAAGTGTACTCTTAATATGCTGTGGCTATTTCACTCATCCCCCTGCCCACCTCCCTTCTGACAACCACCAGTTTACTAAAGAGTCTGTTTTTTGTTTATCTCTTCTTTTATCATTGTTTATTACATTCTGCATATATGAAATAATATGGTCTTGTCTTCTTTTTAAAAATGTGAATCGCATCCAGGCCACTTCTTGACTTAGACCGCATCTTTGGCTTTCCATTTTTAGGGCAGCATCCAAATAACTCAACATGAAGTATAAAACTCTTTGAGATGCCTCCTTTCTAACCTCATCTCCCTGCACTGTCTTATTTATGGCCTGCCTTTGGGCTACATGAGGACAGAGAACATGTCTATTCTGGGCTTCACTGGATCTCCAACACACAGAACAGTATACGGTGCATGGCTGCTGCTGAGAAATACTTATTGAATTAATTGTGTTCTTCATAGGAGCCGAAGAAGAGGCAACCCAGGGGATAAGCCCGAGTCAAGTCCCATTAACTACCAGGTAGTTCATCATCCGTGATCTCACCGCATCAATTTCGTTCAGGGCCTTCCATTGCTCATAGGGAACACCCAGAGCCTCAGCTGTCTGGATAGTCCTCTTCATGTGGCTGGTCCACACCTTCAGGGAGCTGATGCCCTGGGACTGAATGAAGTTGGCCAGGGCATAGGCATACTGGGGAGTGGAGTTGCAGAGGATGAGAAGAGGGGAGAGAGAGAGAGATGAAAGAAAACAGAGTAGCTGTGAGATCTGCCACAAATGGTGAAATGATGATGAACAAGAAAGAGTAGAATTTAAATGTTTCCAATTTATAAACAGGGATATGACAAGGATCAAGGGAATAGAAATAGGTATGTGTGTTTATGTATGTATATGTATATGTTTGTGTGTGTGTGTGTGTGTATTCATTGATGCTTGTTTAATAAGCCCATTGCTCAGTTATTCATTCAAAGAGCCCACCTCTGGCAATTGTGGAGCCTGGGACAAGACTACAAATGGAGGCACTTTACCCAGTCAACCTCCCTTCTCTTCTCATTTGTGCCTCCATCTTGCACTTGTAGGTGTTTTGAGTACATGTTTGTAGATAACCTAGTCACATGACCAAATTCTACCCACACCATATTTCCACTGATTCCCATGATCCACAAACAGTGACCATTTGGTCACTCCTTTGCTGAGGACTACACACTACTGTGATGTGGCCTGCTCTCAGGTGGACAGACTCTGAGATAGGCCCACACAGGCATGGAGAGCAGACTCCAGGCCAGAAGGGTAGGGGATTCTGGGTTTTGGGTACTCAGAATGTGGTCCAGAAGTAGGGGGTGTGTGATTTGGGGACATTTCTTTTTGACTCTGGGGATTCTCATTTGCTTGAGTTGGGATCTTGAAACCCAGCTTCTAAGGTCATTCAAACATATACTGAGTGTGTGTGATCATGGGCTGGGTATCAGGGTGTCCCGTTCTCAAGATAGAGCCAGTCCAGTAGGGAAACAATGACAGTACTGAAAGGAAACATGAAAGGCTGTGGGAGCCCAAATGAGCAAGTGGTTTGTTCTTTTGCATAGCATCATGTTATTAGTCACAGGTAGTAACGTGAGGAACATTGGCACAAATGCATAGATTTATTTATATGTACACATGTGTATGTACAAATATAAGTATTTTGTATACACATTCTAATTATGAATTATAAGTCAGTAGTTAGTGTGCTCTGGTGGAAGGAGCCCTTGATTGGGAAGTAGGCAACAGGGGTTAAACTTTCCCAACTTCCTTATATGTCCCTGTGTGACCTGGGACACATCCCTGTTTCTCCCTGGCCTTATATCTTCTGCCTGTAAGTTGTAAACACCATTAGCTCACTGAATGTTTCCTATGAGCATCACATTAGATAGTGGAAGAGGAACACATAGAGTGCTCTTGACATACAGTAGGTGACAGCCTCTGTGATTGATTATGAGTGACAGCCAATGAGAAAGTGTTTTGTAAATTTCATGGTGCACTGTGCCCATAAGTATGAAGGTTGGTGCCAGGCATTTACCTGTGCATGCACATGTTTTTGTGCAAGGGCAGTATGTATTGTGGAGATGGCCATGTGCCCAAATTGGGTATTGAGCTGTGTGGGCAGAGCCATAGCTGGCCCCAACCAAGAGACCCCTGGCTGCAGGTAGTGCCATAGGGAAAGGGTGATGCCCCAGTACCCTCTACTCTGCTCTGAAGAGTAAGATAGGTGGGAATCAAAGGTCTGAGTCCACCTCAAGGGGAGCCTGACAGTCTGAAGTAACAGAAAGGGAACCATGAGGACCAGGCCTTCCAATGCAGTGCCATGCTTAGGACACTACCACTTCTGCAGTGGGGGATGAAGAGGGGCAGGCAGGAAAGCCTGGTTTTCAATCCTGGCTCTTTTTTATTGGTTACATGACCTGGGGCTGCTCTTTTCTCCTCCCTGGGCCTCAGCTTCCTCAGATTTCATGAACCGTTAATGGTAATGTCTACCCCCACAGAGCTGTTGTGAAGATTGACTAAGGTCACACATGTGGAAGCAGATGGTGCTGTCTCTGTGCACAGGCACCCAGTAAAAGAGAGTGCTTCCTCCCTCCTGCACCCCATTTCCCAATTTTTCTACCCAAGCCATCCTCCCAGCAAGAACAATACCTGTGTTAACAAGCCCAGGCACAGGGCCAAACATTAAGGAAAATGTGTGCCTTATTTTATTTTATATCCTTAAGGAGCAGGTTACTATGCTTGGCTGGAAAGAAGAGAATAATGCCACAGTCAGAGATGAGCTAGAACTGTAACAGATGGAGTCCAGGGCACAGTGACATGCCTGGGAGGGCAGGAAGGGACAGGGGAGGGCTTCCTGGACCAAACCAGGGAGCAGAAGCTGGACCCTGGAAGGAGGTGGGGGAGAGAGGGCAGGAAAAGAGCAGTAACTGGTGGGGAACAAGTGTTGAAAATGGAATGGCCTGAAGTGGGGGTAGGGGTTGTGGCATTAGCCCTGAGTAAGGGAGAAAATAGATTCAAGGATGGGGCATGTAAGGGCAGCTGTCAGGGAATGTGATGGTCACCAGCTGACAGAGGAGAGCAACCTAGGTGGGGAAAACTGCACAAGCAAAGGCACAGAGTTAAGAGAGAGAGGAGAGGAATCAGTCAGGCAAGTGTGAGGGGTGCTCACTATAATGGGGCTGCAAGAGCAAGCAGATCTGGGCAAGCATGAAGTGCCAAGACCAAGCTAACAGACATGCAGATGTTGTTAGCACATGGGAGTCATTCAAGGATGGGTCAAGACTGAGTGACTGATTGGGTGGAAGAGCAGGTGTGACCAGAACCTGCTTTTACCCTGTTACTGACTCCCCCATCCTTAGGACCCAGGCAGTAGCTGTACCATCAGCCACAGCCCACCTGGGCCAGCTCACCCAATGCCTCAGTGTGCCTGGGTCCCTTCTTACCTGCTTGCCCCGAGCTGAGAGGCCAGAGTCACCTCCGATGCGGCCTCTGAGGTTGAGTTCACTCTCTCCATGCCGGCATAGGTAGATGGATCGGGGTGTGACGTGGATGTTCATGAGATAGTAGACTGTGCGGCTCTGGATGTGGTCCTGTACTCGGTTCACCATGTATCTTGTGCCCACATCGAAGATCTTGATGTAGGATAGGTGGCTGGGCCAGCCCAAGAAGGAGGAAGTGCAGCTCAGGGGATGATGATGGAGAGGCTGATCCCAAGACAAAGCCCCATCCCCACACTCTGCCTTCAAGCCTCTTCTACAATGCAGCTTTCACCTACCTTTCTGCTATCAAACTGTCATGCTTTGCCCTATTCTGGGTACCTGTTCTAGAGACTTCGCTCCCAGCCACCTTAAAGAGCTTGCTGCCTGTTACCACCTTCCCCTGTTTCCTTTCTTCAGTTTCAGCTTGATCCAAGCTATCTTTCACAATCACTTTTTACACTCTAGGGATCTGGGTTCTGTCCTTCGTAGTTCACACTCATGACATACTCAGAGAAAAGCAGTAATCTTGTGACCCTGGCTGCCTCCCACATCTTACTGGAAGCTCCTGAATTGTCTACTCAATCTTCTAAATCTCAAGCTGAGTTCTGTACCTCTATTCTTTAAGTCCCTGCTATGATATATTGTATTTGACACCAGACAGGCAGCTACCAGATTGTGCCTGTGCGCACTTGTTTCTGTGTGTGTAGGTCTTTTCTCACTCAGAAAGGGAAAAAGGTTGTTCCCCCCCCCCATCTGTCATGCAGTCAACAAACACACCATCCTTTGTTCTAACCATTGTCCTTGAGGTGGGGACTCAGCATCTGCCCTTTGGAAGCTCTTCCTTCAATCAAGAACATACACTTGGAAACACGCGACCAATGCTCAACATCCCTTCCATAAACAGTCTCTTAGATGTGCCAAGTATTGGGATATGGGGATGCAGAGATGTTCCACAACACGGAAATCTTGTGGTCCTTGCTTCAAGTCCCATTTTATCCCCTCAATTCTGTGCTCTAGTCATGAATTAATAACTATACACAGAGTGATAATCAAACTATTCAACAACCTATCTGCAGAGGAGCTGGGAATGAGCAACACTGACTAATTAGAGGACTAGAACCATGGAGTAAGTCTTCTGAGGCCCCTGCCGTACCAGGCATGAGTCCTTTAGTTGTTGGACTATATGGAGTTCAAGGAGATCCCTGGGAAGAGGTGGGGAAGGCTGCACCAATGGGGTGGCATACCAGGAACCCTGGATGCACAGTAGCAAAACAAAGTAAATAGAAATAGCTGAATTAACCCAAGGCATGTAAAACAGTGGCTGATGGGTTTGGTTTCAGAAAGCCTCCTCTCTGATCTTCCTAGATATGGCCTTTTAATCTGTATCATACTTAATCATGCCCATCCCTGTCACCTATATCCAATGGTTTCTGCAGGACATTTGCACTTGCGAAGCATTTTCTTTTGTACATCTGGCAGGGAGTGGGGACTTCGAAATACATGAATCCTCATAATCGTCCTAGGAATCAAGGATTATTAGCTGTGTTTTATAGGAGAGGAAACTGGAGCACAGAGAGCGGAAATGATATGCTTAATGTTACTCTCTCCAACTATCTTGTCTAAGAGTCTCAGAACCTCGTGGTGGAAAATATCTGATGTAGCCTTGTTGCCTGATTACTGTCGATTCCTGGTGCTAGGTCCTGGGTAGTTCTAGGAGACCTTTCAACTTCTTGTTTAGTCTGACATTCTATGTACCTTCACACACTGGTCCTGCTTGGCCTCACCTCACAGTCCCATACCCACACCCATGCCCATAATTTCTCTGTTTCAATCTAGCCTTTATGATTTTGCTGGAATATTCTCTAAACTCCCCTACTTTTATTCAGATTTATCTACAGTATTCCAAAATGCTCTTCTGTTTGCTTAAAGACATTCCTTTCCTGCTTTCCAAAGCTGAGCTCCCATGCATGCATCCTTTGAGAACCAACACATTCACTCTCTCTAGAATGTCTTTGAGCCCAGAATCACATGAAGTCATTTAGAGGTGCTTCCCACCGAAAGTAATATATAAGCTAGTGCCTATCTCTACTATGTGAAATCTAAAATAAAAAATCATACATTGTATTATATGAGGAGGTCCCATGAAATTTTGTGTTTTTTTTCCCCCATTTTGATCACATTGATGCTGGTTTTGAAATTAAAATAGTAAAAACTTTACAGATTGTCTTATTCCTATTTTTGGTAGCCTCCACCTTTCTGGTACCCCAAACACATGACTATACTGGGTAAACCTGCTCTTCCACATCTTTCTTCCCAAGCTGAGCTGAGTTTTCTCCTTTGTATTCCTTTAGCCCACTTGGTTTACAATTTCTACAATTCTGATCAACTGCATATTCATTGGCTTCTCCAACTAAATGTGCATTCTCTCACAGCAGGGACAACACTTCTCTCTTTGGATTCCTAGGGCACAGCTTTGGCTGGGCCCTGATACATAGACTGTAAATGTCTGTTGATGTAAAAGTCATTAAATAAAGTCAAACTTCAGAATATGTCATCTTTAGGCCCAAACCGATTCATCAAACACTACCTGAGCACCCTCAGGATTCTATGCTGAAGACTAAGGGCTTTCTCAATGCTTCTTTCACTTTAGCTCCCCTTCAAGCTTTCTTCACCATATGCTGCTAGCCTATATGGTCCATTTGTGGAAATTTCAATAAATTACACTTTCCTCAAGAAAGAAACATCCCACTCCAACACACATGCCTCAGTGAGGAAAACAAGTGTACCCTTGACCTGGTTGTCTTTGCACAGTGAACAGTCTTTACAATTGTATATAAAGTTCCTGCTTCTCGCACCAAGAGTCTAAGCCTCATGTGACACTTCTTTATGATACAGGGATGTTGGAAGAGGAGAATTTGGCTGGAAGTGTGAGATAAGGGTTTGAACAAGTGTTCTACTGACTCATTATGTGGCCTTAGTTAAGTCCATGCACAGTTCTGGGTCTCAATATCTCCATCTATGAGCAATGCAGTAACAATACTTGCCTCTTGGGACTTTGGTTGGGCAAAGCTGGAAGGATGTTGTTTAAACTTCCTAAGGTTTTAATAACTATTTGAGGCCTCCTCATACTCCTCATTTGGGGCCATAAGGGTCTGGGTGACCAGAGTCTTCTCGCATCACAACCCATTCTGAGGACTCTAGGAATATCCTATATCTGAAACTCACATATTCCAGCTAACATGTTTCTAATTTTTAGCTGACATTATGAATGAGAGTTTCATATTTTCATGTGTCTTCCCATATATCAAGGCACTATGGAAGCTATCTGCAGATAGAAACCACCTTTCTTGCCAGTATTTATACTACTATGTACACCACAACTCAAAGAGGCCAAATAATTATTGATCGAAGAGGTACATGGATTTATGAAAAGAGACATGAGTAGGAGACAAAATATATGGTTAGAATCTTAGTTCTACCCCTTGATTTGTGCTGGGAGCTTGGCAAGTGGTTTCAGCTAAGATTCAATTTCCTCTTCTTGAAAACTTATGAACATAAGATCTATTTTGGCTTCCTTTATAGGGGTGCTTAGGGGATTCAATGAAACAAAGAAGGTGGCATCCATGTGTGAGGAATGCTTTTGAAAAAAAAATAAAAGCAACAACTACAGGAGGGAAGAATTTGTTCTTAGAGATCAGGGTCCTGATCTGTTCATATTGGTCAGGAAGGCACTACTTTAAAACTCTCATGGACATTTTATATATCAAGGATTCACTACCTCAGACAATTAGAACTTGGAGAGTCCTAAAGGGAAATCATTGATTCTAGCTCTCTGACGTTACAGATAGAGAAGATGAGACCCAGAAAAGGACATTTCCGCAGGTACTAAAAAACATCAAAATAGGGGTAAAGATCCAGTCCTGGGTTTTAGGGTTCTGGGTTCTTACCTGTCCAGTTCATCATCCAAGGGTTGGTAGTTGACCTCATAGCATTCAATTCTCTTTAGAAAGTCTTCCAGAACCTTTTCCCGGTCACAGTCTATGTAATCAGGGCTGCCAAGTTTTACTTGCTAGGAAAAGGGAGATCAGAGGAACTGTGAGAGACAGAGACTCTAACAGTGAAACTTTGGAAATGCCCTTAGAGATCACTGAGTACAACATCCCTCATCATAAAGATGAGGAAATTGAGACTTAGACAAAAGGTCTTGCCAAGTTACAAATCAGTCGATTTAAGAGAATTTAGAATGTGTGACTCCTTATGCTTTATTTCTATGTGATTAAACAAGGTCTTTTATATTGTACTCAGTTCTAGAGAACATGGTGTTTAAGAAGAACATTTAAAAGAAGATGTGGGTTGGCTAATTGAATTTAAATTTAAAAAGAAGATGTGGTATATATCTATATCTATATTACTCAGCCATTAAAAAGATGAAATCTTACCATTTGCAACAACATGAATGGAACTAGAGGGTATTATGCTGAGTCATAAGGAATAAGAATAAGAAATGTCAATCAGATAAAGACAATTATTGTATGATTTCTTTAAATAATATTTTATTTATTTATTTGAGAGAGAGAGAACATGAGCAGGGGGAATGGGCAGAAGAAGAGGGAGAAGCAGACTCCCTGTTGAGCAGGGAGCCCAATGCAGGACTCAATCCCAGGACTCTGGAATCATGACCTGAGCTGAAGGTAGATGCTTAAAAGACTGAACCACCCAGGTGCCCTGATTTCACTCATATATGGAATTTAAGAAACAAAGCAGAGGATCATAGGGGAAGGGAGGGAAAAATAAAATCAGAGAGGGAGACAAACCTTAAGAGACTCTTAACTATTGGAAACAAACTGAGGTTTGCTGAAGGGGAGGTGGATGGGGGGATGGGGTAACTGGGTGATAGGCATTAAGAAGGGCATTTGGTGTAATGAGCAATGGTTATTATATGCAACTGATGAATCACTAACTCTACTTCTGAAACTAATACTACACTGTATGTTAATTAATTGAATTTAAATAAAAAAACTTAAAAAGTAATAAAAGAGGATCAGAAATTGTGATGTGAGAAATGGCCAAAGAAGAGGAACAGGAGATTTTGGCCAGGGGTCATAATGGCATACATGTATTGAGTGTTTAATGAGAGAATATGGCATGTTGGTTTTAAATTTCTGAAAGGTTAATGTCTCTTAATCCCCCATGCTTATCTTCTCCATCCACATTTGTTATCTCAGTGAATGGTGCTATCATCCATTCAGTTACCTGAGCCTAGAAAAAATAGGGGAGTCATCCTAGATGCATCTTCATCCCTCACCTCTCAGCAGGCACAAGATCCTCTCCATTCTATCTTCTAAATATCCCTCCTATTGATTTCCATTCTCTCTTGCCTGGACACTTACTCTAGCTTTGTGACTAGTTACTCTTGTCTACAGTCTTGTTACTTCTGATGTATTCCTCATACTAGCAGCCAGAAAGATATTTTTTAACATGCCCATCTGACCATGGCATTCCCGTGCTTAAAACTCTTCACCATTTTCTTATATCCTTTAGGGCACAGTGTGAACTATTTTATCAGGTGACCCATTTTTATATATTATTACCCAATATTATATAATATATATATATACCCCTTGATTTGTGCTGGGAGCTATATATAATATATATAATATATAATATAATATATATTATTACCCAATATTATATAATAATAATTGAGTCCAAAATAATTTCTGCTCTCATCTCCCATTGCACTTCTATTCCTCCACACACTTTGCTCTAGCCAATTTGAACTTCTTATAGTTCCGTGGAGATACAGTAATTAGTATATGCTATTCCCTTATATCCAATTCTTCACCTGTCAAATTCCATTTGCATTCTTTAAGATTCAGGCCAGCTATTGTTTTCATTGAGAAGTCTTCCCTGGTACACATCTATCCCTCCCATGCAAGGCTAGGTATTCAACAATGTTCTCCCAGAGCCTCCTTTATTTCTTCGTTTCAGCACAGACATACAATTATGTCTATAAACTTGTCAGTATCTCCAAGTATCTCTCACTAGACTGTGAGATCAAGGGCAGCACTCTCCTCTATGTCTTGAATACACAGAATGGCCCAGTTCAGTTGTATAGATTAAATTTGTGTTGAATCAGTAAATGAATAGATGGAAAGGTGGATGAATAACAGGGGTTGGACATGTTCTATGCCCTAAGAGACAAAAATAGGACCAATCAGTTAAAACTTCAGGGAGGCAAATTTCAGCTTGATTGGACAGCATTTGATGAAGCAATGAGTCTCTTTTCATTGGAGGTATGAAAAGAAAATATAGACAAATACTTAGCTGAGATTTTAAGTATGTGATGAAAGGTTCAGGGAGATAACCTATAAGGTCTCTTCTGTCCCTGAGTTCCAGTAATTTCATGAAACAAGGAACAGTAAAATGTGGCAGATGATCCAGCTCTAGAGCACATGTTTAGAATCTAAAAGCAGTTACATTTCTGATACAAGCCTGAGTTCCAGTCCCACTTCTACTTCTTTCTGGTTGTATGAAGCTTTGAAAAACTCTTCTCTTGGAATCTGTTTCCTCTCTCCAACAATGAAATGATTCCTAATATGCAGGTTGTTGTAACAAATCAGTAAGAGTCAAGTTTGGTGCCCAGTGCATATTAACAACTCTATATTATGGCTTCTTTAAATTTCATAGGGTTATTGTAGGCTAGGAAGGTCAGGAAATACTTCCTACAGGAAGTAGGAAGAATAGTTAGGAATAGGAATAGGAAGCTTAGGAATAGGAATAGGAATAGGAAGCTCAGAAAAGAATATCACCTTTAATAACCTCATAGAGGTCTTTTATGTGTTACCCAAGCCTGAGGAAAAGTAAAGAGGAAAGGGTAAGGTACTCCTTACCCTGATGTTTTCTGCAATGATGCCAGGGTCATTACAGATGGACTCAATGAAAAAGACCTATAAGAGAAAAAGAAGAGAAATTTCCAGCAGGGAATTATATTTGGTAGGGCCAAACATAGCTTCACCTCTTCTCAGTGACTCTGAGTCATCCCTAGGGGCATCTATGACAACATAATTTCATACAGTGTTACTTTTCAGGATTCTGAGTTTTATGAGACATATTGACTCAAAACTGAATGACCCTAGATTATTTTTTATGTTTTTACTTCTTATATATGCTTTTTGTAGTAGTTCTCTTCCCTCCTTTCTCATTTCCACCCCCACAGTGTCAGCCTGTCAGCAATTATCTTCCATTGTCCAATATGGCACCTCTTTCCTGTTCTGTTTTGTTGCTTTTGTGATCTGGAAAGCCATATCACCAAATTACAATGTTGAACTTGAATTTGTAGTTTATTTGGCAGATTAGAGTCCTCTGGTTTGCCTACTAGATTAAGTATGCTGTAGATGACAGTGGGAATGTTACTATACCTTGTAACCATGTTCTTTAGCAAACTGCAGAATTAGTGACCGTCGTTCTCTGGTTGTGTTGGTGGCATCAAAAACCTAGAGGCCAATGATGAAATTGGTTTACTCTGAATCTGATTTTTGAAGAACACCTACTCCTTGGCTATCCTTGTGCTAGGTGGAGGGCTTCCAGTAAAACATAGATCTTGACTGAGTTTTGAAGAATAGGAAGGACTTGAAATAATTGATTTATGCCAATTTCTTAAGCATTCATTGAGTGCTTGCTGTCAATCCAGAAATGTAACAAACTGTAGGTATAAACAAGAGGAAAATTGTAAGTTTTTACTAGGGTAATTTTATAGGTAAAATAACCAAGTCTTAGAGGAAGGACTTGCTTTAACCAAGGCCACCAAGAGTTGCTAACAGAACAGAGCTAGAATGGATCCTCTCAACTCCTAGTTGAGGCTTCCTCTTTCCTATCACTTTGGAGCTCTTCAAGAAAAGGTAACAAGAACAGGAAACAACTCTCTACATTCAGCACCTAAGGTGGAACAATTTGAGGCTATTTTCTCCTTTTAGAATTCACAAATCTTACTCCAAGCATCTATGAAACTAAATTGACTAGACATTTAAGTAAGTCTCTTGAACTAAAAAATGTTTGTACTGTAGTCTTTCTGAATTTTTGGGGGTGGGGTGGTAAAGCACAGTGGTTAAGAGTGTAGATTTTGGACCTATGCAACCTGAATTCTAGTTTTGGTCTTGTTGTAGTCATGCTGTGCCACCTTGGGAAATTATTCAATCTCTCTGTACCATTTTTCTGGGCTATACAATGGAATATAACAACAATGCCTGTCTCATGGGAGAGGGTGGAATTAAATTAATATGTGCAAAGTTCTTAGAATAGTGTATAGGACATAGTAAATGCTCAGTACATACTAGGGACCTTCATTCTGTCAGAAACTTGAAGAAAAAAATGCAAAATTCCTTACCGCAACATGACCTTCCTCATGGCTGAGATAGTCATGGACATCCTTCAGGGCTGCCAGGGCACACTGCCTGAAAAAGATGGAGAAAGAAACAGAGACAATCCCTGTCCCCAAGATGAGTTCCTCTTTATGTTCCTCCATTATCTTTTGCACCATCTCTCAGATATTTCACGTTAAATTATTCATCTCTGAAACATTTACATGGGTATCTTATATTGTAGGCACCATGACAAGCACAGACAGGTCACACAGTTGAAAGTGGCTCTGTGTGCACATCCTAGGGGGAGGCATAAAGTGACATACCTAGGAAAAAAGGACTAATGACAGAGTCATAATATTAAAAAACAACATTTGAGGGGATAGAACACAAGTGGAACTGGTCCTTAAACCCAGGTAGAGATTGAGTATATAGTCTGTGAAGTAGAAGGCATTCCTGGAATGGGTAATAGTACAAGCACAGGTATGATGGTGGCAATATATTTATGCATTTGGAAAAAAATATGTTTGGTGGTTACTCTTTGTTGGGTTCTATCATAAGGGTGTGGATCAATAAATGAGACCTAGGTTCTGTTCTGGAAGTGCTGTGTCTTGTAGAGGAGAGAGACCTTGAGATTAAATAAATGGTATTGGAGAGACTGGAATAGGCCAAGCTATTGACATCCTTAAAGGCTCAGACTCTTAGATTTTCCACTCTCTCCTGTAAGGAGTAGGAGACATTTTCTTTCTAAGTTCTTAAGTAGGGGATGGTTATGACCACAAACAGGTTTTGGGTATGGTAGGGGAAGAGTTTTTCCAATCGCCATTTGAGAGTCTAGAAGACCTCCTTGTTAACCCAAATTACTCTGCTCTACACCCCCGTTATCTGAACAAAGCCCTCCTTCAGCCAGGGGCAGCTCTGATCTCTAAAATATTAGACACTTACTTCCTGATATGTAAGGCCTCCATGTTGTCTGGAAGAAAAAATTCGTAGTTCTTGTAGCTCACTGCCTCTCGTCGGTACTGGCCTAAATTAAACACTGAAAGCAGGGAGGTCTGGTGAAGGGATTGGAAAGATTCTAGTGGAAAAATATGTCATTGCTGGGAGAGATTTCAGAGATTGAAGGAGGTATAGTTTGTAGTTATATAATATGCTTATAAAGCTTTAAATTATGGTTACCATCTCATTTATTCCTCGCAACAACTTAGCAATATAGGATTTACAATCCCATTTTACAAATGAAGAAACTGAAGTTCAGAGAAAGGAAGTAATTTTCATAGTTAATAAATGGGAAGCTGGGATTAAAAAACAGGCCTGTTTGGCTCCAAAGCTAGTGGATTTTCTGCTATTCTATTTTTTTTTCATAAACTCTAATGCTTTCAGTGCTCTACTGTATTGGAAAAATAAGGAAACAGATCTAATGAGTAAAATCAATCACTAAGTATCAAACAGTGAGTCAGCAGGTAATAGAACTAGACTGGACCTCCTGAATCCTAGTCCAATGTTATTACATTTTCCAGTATCATGACAAAGAATCTAAATTTATTGCCCTCTCTAGACTATATTTTCCCATTAGTAATAGTGAAAAACCTGATAGAAGTTAAGGAAAGGAGGAGAAAGAGGATAAAGGGACCAATGCAATATTTCATTAATCCATTCAATAAATACATTCTGATGTGCATTCTGACACACACTGTAAAGTGGATATGAGTTCTGAGGTCTCAAAGATAGATGAGATATGCATGATGGGGCCCCAAGGAGCTCACAATCCAGCAAGGACTGACAGTAAACCAGCAAACATAGAGTTCCCACATAGTTTGTTGAGTTCTCCAATAGGCATTCAAAAGAATAAGGGGGAAGGACAGACTAACTACACTTGGAGTAATCTAAGATGATTTGTGGAGAAAGCAGTATTTGAGTCAGTCTTTTTTTTAAAGATTTTATTTATTTGACAGACAGAGATCACAAGTAGGCAGAGAGGCAGGCAGAGAGAGAGGAGGAAGCAGGCTCCCTGCTGAGCACACAGCCTGATGCAGGGCTTGATCCCAGGACCCTGAGATCATGACCTGAGCCGAAGGCAGAAGCTTTAACCAACTGAGCCACCCAGGCGCCCCTTGAGTCAGTCTTTTTAGGAAGGCAGGCATTTTATAGGCAACCAAGGGGGTTGGGAGTGTGGAATAAAGACATTTCAGGTAGAGGAACACCATAAGCAAAGGTATAACATTGGCAGAAGGCAGAACATATTTGGGGGATGGTGATTCATTCACTGTGACTGAAGCCTGTGACACTGACAGGGACGGATTGTGGAGGACTTTGAACAACAGGTTAAAAAACTTGGGTTTAAACCTGTAGACCAAGAAGACCCTTGGAAGCTGTAGGTATGGTAAGCTTTATGCTTTGCAGCATGACTCTGAGGCTTTGTGCTCTGTGAAATGGACTGGATTGGAGCAGATGGAACGCATGTGCATTAGGGCACAGACCCATGCACCACCATCCCATGTTCCCCTAACATCCAGCAGAAGCTACTTGGAGACTGCAGTCCTCCGCAAATACTATTCTTTCTCTGCTCTTCTGCCAGTGTTCTACTCCTCCCACAGGACCAAACTCAAATATATTCTATCTAGAAGTTTCTCTGCCTTCCAGTTGGTGATTTCCTCTGTGAGCCCCCTCAGTGCCCTGCTCTAGGATTCCTTAAGTGACCATGAGGTGTTAGTATGCATCCCAGCCAGATAGAAAACTCTTCAAGGACAAGGTGTGAATCTCATTAATTTTTACATCTTCAATGTCTAGCATGGATTTTGGCACATAAAAAACCATTAGGGAACACTTCACCAGTGAATTTGAGAAGGAAAAGAAGAAATATGAGAAAGGGAAGAGAGTTGAAGAAAGGGAGGGAAGCGTGCAGATACATAGGGTGCTGGGATGAGCAAGAGAAAGGCAAGAAAAATAACGGAGAAAAGGTGAGTATAGGGCCAATGTGGGATTAGTTTTTCTTCCCATCAGTAGAACCAAGTAGCAGACCTGGCACAGTGAGTGTCAGGCTTTGGAAATAACCAGACGTGGGCTCATTTCCTGGTTCTGTCACTGGGTGGCCATGTGCCTTTAGAGGTCCTTCACCTCTTGGGCATTAATGTAATCAAATGTGGAATGATGATAATACTAGTTTCTTTTTCATGGGCATTATAGAACTTAAAAAAATAGATGTTAGTCCTTTGAGGATAGACATCCTATTCTACTTGTCTTTGCTCAGTATCCAACAAGGGCTTTGTCACAGATATGTGCTCATTGAATAATTAATGATTGAATAAATAAATGCCCAAGCAGAACTGTTTGCTGCACTGGGGAGCAGTGCTCCATTTCACAAGGGGGGGTTCTAAGTACTTGCTTAGTGTACCAGGCAAGGGGGAACATGGCCCCAATAAAAATTTTCAGATAAGTTGATATTCACTGGAAGCATCAATATAGTCATTTGAGATAAATATAAACACTGGTAGACCTTCTTACCATTACTGTTTTTATTCTGAATTGTATATGATGTGGGGAAACCCTATCTCTTACTGTTTAGAGTGTCTGAATGTCTTTTTTTTAAGATTTTATTTATTTATTTGACACAGAGAGGGAGATCACAAGTAGGCAGAGAGGCAGGCAGAGAGAGAGGGGGAAGCGGGCTCCCTGCTATGAACAGAGAGCCTGATGCGGGGCTGGATCCCAGGACCCTGGGATCATGACCTGAGCTGAAGGCAGAGGCTTTAACCCACTGAGCCACCCAGGCGCCCCTAGAGTGTCTGAATGTCTTAATCTGGTCACACTTCAGAGAGGGAAAGGAATATGACCTGATCCCCTGCCCCCAGAACAGTTCCTGGTGAGAGACCCAGACACACACTGTAACAACACACTCTATAATTAGTGTTGGCATAGAGAGGGCTGTTGGGAGGTTTGGTATGGGAGCCCAGAGAAGCAGTCTTCTCAGGGGGAACAGAGCAATCAAATAAGAATGGGGATACAGGTTGGAGGTGGACAGAGAAATCAAATGGGGAATGGGAGAGAGCAATTACTAAATAACTGGTAGGAAGCAGAAAAGAGACCACACTGAAGAGAATGGAAAACTGGAAACAGGGAGTGAAGGAGGAGTTTGGCAGGCATGGAAGGAGGACTTTCTGGAGGTGGAAAAACACAGGACCACTTCCAGGTGGAAAGTAGAAGTCAACAAGCTCAGACCTAAAGAGAGGCACCTTCTGAACTCCAAAAGATGAGGTGAGTGAAGGTGCCCAACTTTAGTGAAGACCCTCTGGGAACATCTGGGCTGTGGTTTCAATATGCTTGATTCTACATACCCTAAGGCTTGAAGAAAACCTTGAGGTTTTGAATAAATGGTAATGTAATATTGGTGTGGCAAGAATAATAATAATGGTGATAAAATAATAATAATGGTAATAAAAATAGTATATTACTCATAGGATTATGTTAAGGCCTTGTAAAACTGGAGGTCCCTCAGAACAGATATTTAATCTCACTAGTTTTCCTATACCTATTACCTAGAATACCATGAGGCATAGAGTATGTTCTCAAGATACTGTAAAACTTTTAAGAGTGTGGTGGTGGTGGTAGTAGTAGTAGTAGTAGTAGTACTAGTAGTAATCTGAAGATTGGTAATAATGGTTTGAGGTGTTCCTGATACTGAGGGAATGTCTCTCTCATGCCTGCTACCTTAACCTTCAGCCAGTGGCAGGTAATGGGCTGTAGAACAAAGGGTTTCAGAGACATACCTTTAGTTGGTGTTCCTATCCAGTTGAGATATCTTGTGAGCTTCGTGGAGATATAGGTCTTTCCTCGAGCTGGTAAACCCACCATGATCACCATTGTGGGGGAATTGGTAAACTGGGGTATTGATGCTGAAAGATAAACAGAACCTCAAAAACTTATTCCCAGGTTCCCATTCTCTTCTGGTATCAGCTCAGAGATGTTGAATTGGGAAAACAACTTACCTACCATTATAAGAATAATAACAAAAACCTGGAAATTTTCAAACTGACTTCTGAAATCTTCAGAAAACTGAGATTACAGTGTGAACAGCTAAACCCAATCTATAGAGACAGGCAGGCATCTGCAGGGAGCAACAGAGCAGGTGTTTGCTTATCTTTCAACATATAAACTCATAAGAAGACTGAACTAAAAATTTATAATAAATTGCTAAATGTTCATTATGGACTAGTGTGAGAATATGAAGCCCCTGGTGCTGAAGACATAGGTGGTTTTGCATCCTCTAGGAATTCCACCAGTTACAGAAGAATCTTGAGAAAGATGTCCTATAGTTCTGGTTTGGAGAGGAAAACAGAATAGCAGCCATTGATGAAATTGTGTCCAGGCCATTCTCCCTTTGTATTCTATGAAACAAAAGCCTTAGTCTTCGCAGAAAGGGAATGCAACTGTAGTTTGAGAGCACTGGTGGAAATTAACTGCAGCTGACAGAGTGGAATGCCCAACACTATTGAAACTCTGCTGAGACCAATCTACTCCATCTCCCTAAAAGAAAATAAGCCTTCCTCTGAAGAAGGAAGAGCAACAGAAACTGAGGACACTGGTAGAAACTCACTACACCTGGAGAAGGAAAATGGGGAAAAAAATGCTGTAGCCTAGAAGGCATAGGAATATGCACTAGGCCAACCATTATAGTTAAAGAAGAGTCAGGAGCACATGGGAAGGTCACACCTCCAGGACTGAGGATAAGCCTGCCTAAGACTGAGGCTTAATCAGATTAACGTGAAATGTCATTAGTTCCCTTTTCCCTATTACCAGGCTAAAATAAGTAAAATAATAGAATACTACACCTTCAAAGGAAGAAAAAGATAATAGTCTCCAGAGAGCAGCTCAAAGGGGACAATCAAGGCAAGGAAAAAAATTGTCTGGAGACAAAGAAATCATCAGTATCAGTCTCAGTTATGATACTCATATTGGGACTATCAGGCAAGGAATTTAAAATAGCTAAGACTGATAAGTTAAAAGCTTTATTTAAAAGGTAGACCACATGCAAGGTCAGATAGGTAATTTCAGGGGATGGAAAGTATAAGAAAGAATCAAATGTAAATGCAAGAGAAAAACACAGTAATGGATCTGAGGAATGTCTTCAGTTTCTCAAAATTGAACTTAATATAGCTGAGAAATATATGAACTTGAAGATGGATCAGTAGAAATTATACACCCTAAAATGCAGACAGAAAAAATAGTAAAAACAAAACAAAGCAACCCAGAACAAAACATCCAACAACTTTGAGAAAGTGTCAAATAGTGTAATATATATGTAACCTATAAATAACCCATAAATATCATATATATACATATATATGTAATTAGAATATATTATATATATAGAATGTAATATATATGTAATTAGAATAATGGAATGAGAAGAGGGAGATCATGGGAAAAAAGAAATATTTGAAGAAAGAACTGCCAAAATTTTCCAAAATTGAGTTATTGACAACAAACCACAGATTCCAGTATCTCAGAGAATACTAAGCAGCATAAATAAAACTTTAAAAAGAAGCACACCATACCTAGACATAGCAAATTCAAACTGCAGAAAATCAGGCAAAAATAAAATACTGAAGGAGGCCAGGAAAAAGGCATGGTAGGAACACCTTACTTACGGAAGAGCAAGGAGGAGAATTAAACTGGACCTCTTGTTAGAAGCCACATAAGCAAAAAAGATAGTGAAATTAAAAAAAAATTCAAGTATTGAAAGTAAATGACAACAGCAGCAATAAGAAAATAAGCCCCACAAACCCTGTCAATGCAGAATTCTAAATTCAGGAAAAATGTCCTTTAAAAATAAAGGCAAAATAAATACTTTTATTTCAGACAAACAAAACCAGGAAATTCATCACAGGCAGACCTGTCATATAAGAAATATTAAAGAATAATATTTAGGCAGAAAAGATCTGATATAGGTCATGAAATTGGATGTACATCATTAAAGAAGAACATTGGAAAAGGAATAAATTAAGGCAAAATATACCTTTTATTTTGCATATTCTTAATTGTTCTAAAAGATTACTGTCCAAATCAGTAATAGTAATAATGTAGTGGGTGTTCATAGTATATATCAAAATGAAATAAATACAAAAATGACACAAGGAAAGGGAGGAAGAATCTGGGAATATTCTGTTATAAGATACTTGTTCTGCATGTAAAGTAATACAGTGTTATTTGAAGGTGAACCCAAATTATTTTAAAACATATATCATAAAACCTAGGAGAACCACTAAAAAGTAAAGAAAAACCCCAAAAAGAAAAGCACAAATATATACATAAACAATAAGTAAACACACCAATAAAATGGGATCATGAAAAATGCTCAAATAAGATGAGGAAAAGCAAAAAAAAAAAAAAGATAAAAAAGAAACAAGTCTGGGAAGATGGTGGTAGAGTAAGAAAACTCTAAGCTTCCTTTGTTCCACAAATACAGCTAGGTAACTATCAATCATCCTAAATAACCCCAAAACCAAGCTGAAGACTAGCAGAACAAATTCCACAACTAAAGGTACAGAAAAACTCACATTGAAGAAGGTTAGAAGTGTGAGAGAAGCAGAGAGAAACAGATCATGGTCACCATGGTGGGGAAGGAGCTGCAGTTGCAGAAGAGGGTGAGAGACAGATTAGCACACAGGGGATCCCACATGGGGAAGACAAGAACCCATGGAAATTGGCTTGGAAAGTGAGAGGGGATGAAATTTGTGAGCTATTAATGAGGTTCAGTTAAAAAAAAATGGAGGCTCTTACTGCTAGGATAAATGAGGCAGAAGAGAGAATTAGTGATATAGAAGACCAAATAATGGAGAATAAAGAAAGTGAGAAAAAGAGAGATAAACAACTACTGGACCACGTGGGGAGAATTTGAGATATAAAGTGATACCATAAGATGAAACACGATTAGAATAATTGGGATCCCAGAAGAAAAAGAAAGAGAGAGAGGCAGAAGGTATATTGGAGAAAATTATAGCAGAGAACTTTACTAATTTGGGGAAGGAAACAAGCATCAAAATCCAGGAAACACAATAAAAATAGGTAAACAACCCATCATCTAATAGTAATAGTAAAACTTACACGTCTCAGAGACAAAGAGAAAAACCCTGAAAGCAACTCAGGACAAGAAGTCTGTAACCCACAATGGTAGAAATATTAGATTGGCAGCAGACTTATTCACAGAGACCTGACAGGACAGAAAGAATTGGCATGATATATTCAGAGCACTAAATGAGAAAAATATGCGGCCGAGAATACTATATCCAGCTAGGCTGTCATTGAAAATAGAAGGAGAGATAAAAAGCTTCTAGGACAAACAAAAATTTAAAAAAAATTGCAAACACCAAACTAGCCCTCCAGGAAATATTGAAAGGGGTCTTCTAACCAAAGAGAGAGCCTAAAAGTAACACACCAGAAAGAAACAGAGGCAATATACAGTAACAGTCACCTTACAGGCAATACAATGGCACTAAATTCATATCTTTCAATATTTGCCCTGAATGTAAATGGGCTAAATGCCCCAATCAAAAGACACAGGGTATCAGAATGGATAAAAAACAAAAAACAAAACAAAACAAAACAAAAAACAAGACCCACCAATATGCTCTCCACAAGAAACTCATTTTAGACCCAAAGACAACTCTAGATTTAAATGGGAGGTGGAAAATAATTTACCATGCTAATGGACATCAAAAGAAAGCTGAGGTGGCAATCCTTATATCAGACAAATTAGATTTTAAGCTAAAGACTATAATAAGAGATGAGAAAGGACACTGTATCATACTCAAAGGGTCTGTCCAACAAGAAGATCTAACAATTTTAAATATCTATTCCTGTAACATGGGAGCAGCCAATTATATAAACCAATTAATAACAAAATCAAAGAAACACATCAACAATACTACAATAATAGTAGAGAACTTTAACATCCCACTCACTGAAATGGACAGATAATCTTTTTTTTTTTAAGATTTTATTTATTTATTTGACAGAGATCACAAGTAGACAGAGAGGCAGGCAGACAGAGGGGGAAGCAGGCTCCTCACTGAGCAGAGAGCGCAATGCAGGGCTTGATCCCAGAATCCTGGGATCATGACCTGAACTGAAGGCAGAGGTTTTAACCCACTGAGCCACCCAGACGCCCCATGGACAGATAATCTAAGCAAAAGATCAACAAGGAAATAAAGGCTTTTAATGACATACTGGAGAGATGGACATCACAGATATATTCAGAATATTCCATCCCAAAGTAACAGAATACACCTTCTCTAGTGCACATGGAATGTTCTCCAGAATAGATCACATCCTGTGTCACAAATCAGGTTTCAACCAGTACCAAAAGATTGGGATCATTCCCTGCATGTTTTCAGACCACAATGTTTAGAAACTAGAACTCAATCATAAGAGAAAAGATGGAAAGAACTCAAATGCATGGAGGTTAAAGAGTATACTGCTAAAGAATGAATGGGTCAACCAGGAAATTAAAGAAGAATTTTAAAAATTCATGGAAACAAATAAAAATGAAAACACAACTGTTCTAAATCTTTGGGATGCAGCAAAGGCGGTCCTGAGAGGAATGTATATAGCAATACAAGTCTTTCTCAAGAAGCAAGAAAGGTTTCAAATACAAAACCTAACCCTACACCTAAAGAGGCTAGAGAAAGAACAGCAAATAATGCATAAACCCAGCAGCAGAAGAAAAATAATACAGATCATAGCATAAATCAATGAAATAGAAACCAAAAGAAGAGTGGAAGAGATCAACAAAACTAGAAGCTGGTTTTTTGAAAGAATAAGATTGATAATCCCCTGGCCATTGGAGAAGTGTCTGTTCATGTTTTCTGCCCATTTTTTGATATGATTATCTGTT